CGGCTAATTGAAGAGTTATAGCCGTCGGTTCAATTTCTCCTAACCCAAGATTTTTAAAGGTTGAATAAGGCATAAGATTAATGCTAGCGCCTAAATCAATGAGCGATCTAAAATTTTTACCTCCTATAGTACAAGGAATAGTAAACTTACCTGGATCGCCGAGTTTTTGTGGAAGAGGCCGAGTAAGAATTGCACTAATTTGCTCTGTGAGTTGGATCATCTCGTTCCCTTGCAATTTCTTACTTTTCTTCACGAGGTCCTTGAGGAACTTCACCCACTTTGGCATCTTTTGTAGTGCTTCAATGAAAGGAATATTTATGCGAATTTCCTTCAACTTGTCCAAAAATCTTTGATATTCGGCATCGAGCTTCTTCATTATAAACTTTTGAGGATAAGGAATTGGAGGGACTTGTGAAGGCACCGTTGATGGTGGCTCTTCATGAGTTGATTTTTTTTCCTCATTTACTTTCGGCTTCTCGATTACCGTGTTTCTCTTCTCTTTCCGTGGGGCTTCCTCCAATTGCTTCCCGTTCTTCAAGGTGACTGCTTGGCACGTCTCGACCTCGATCTTTTTTGTTAGCAATCTTTGTGGATATGGGATTGGCTCAACCCATTCGGCTACAGTGACTTGCGGCTTGACTTGAATTTCTTTTTTTTTCTCGATTTTGAAATCGATAGCTTGGCACGTCTCGAACTTTTGCTTTCGAGGATCTTCCGTATTCGATGGCAATGCTCCTTGCGGACGGTTCTCTTGATTCAAAGCTAATTGAGCAAGTTGATTCTCCAAATTTCGCAACGAGGCTTGGGTAGCGGTCATGAATTGGGCCAATATCTCATCCGTGTTTGATTTTTGGGCCGGTGGATTGTTGCCTTGATAGCTTTGTTGAGGAGGGGCTTGATTTTGAAATTGACCTTGAGGTCTTTGATATCCTTGGCCTTGTTGATTTCCTCCATATTGCCCTTGTGATCTCCACCCTTGATTTTGGAATTGGCGAGGCGCATTGTTGACGTAGTTGAGCGACTCCACATCTTGTTGGCATTGGAGCGTGTAATGATTTCCACCGCAAATTTCACAACATGGAGAATCGATTGCTTGGACTTGTTGTGGTGGACTTGCTTTGATGTGCTGTAGAAGGAGTTGATTTTGTTGAGCAATTTGGGTCACTTGAGCTTGAAGGGCCGTAATTGCATCTAACTCCAACACTCCGGGAACTTTCTTAGCTCCACTAACCGTCCTCTCGCTTGACTTGGCAAACCGATTTTGAGCTATTTGATCCAACATGATAAACGCATCGGGTATTGATTGACTCATAAAATTACCTCCGGTTGATGCATCTAAGACGGTTCGTGCATTCTCGTTAATCCCTTGGTAAAAGATGTGGATTTGCCGCCATTGTTCGACTCCATGTGTTGGACACTGCCGCAAAAGAGTTTTAAATCTCTCCCATGCCTCGTATAATTGCTCGCCTTGCTCTTGGACAAAATTGTGAATTTCTCGCCGGATTCTCTCGTCCTTCTCGGGTGAGCTATAGACTTTCATGAAAAGGTTGAGGAGTTGAGGCCACGACGAGATAGAGTGGGGGGCTTGGGACATTAACCACTGGCGAGCTCTTCCTTGTAGGGAGTGCTTGAAGAGAATTAATTGAAGCGCCTCTTGGGAAACGCCGTTTTGACGGTGGGAATTACAGGTATCTAGAAAATTGACAATGTGCAGATGGGGATCTTCACCTGCCAACCCACTAAATAGCCCGTTATTTTGGAGCATCGTCAAAAGGCCTTGCTTGATCTCAAAATTGTGCGCCTCAATAGGTGGATATTGGATGCTCGGCCGGAACCCGTCGAGAGTGGGGATTATGTAGTCTTGAAGTGCCCGTGGCCTAGCTGTTGGCTGTAACGGAAGTTGAGGGGGTGGGTCTTGGACTTGGTTTCCGTTGGCATTGAGTAAATTACCCGCTGCCCTGCGTTCTTCGTCCTCCATTATATTATTTGCGCGTTGTCGTCTCCTAGCGGCTCGAAAAGTTCGTTCGATTTCGGGATCAAACGGCTCTCTAGCAAGATCGAGTCTCCTGTGCATACAAAGTACCTAAAACAAAAATAAAATAAAACGAAAATTAAATGGGTGAATCGTGAAAATTGTTCAAATCTAGAGCTAGAATAAAATAAATAATTAAAATATTCCCCGGCAACGGCGCCAAAAACTTGTTGGTCGAAAACGGCCTACACGCAAGTGCACGTATCGTACAAGTAATATAGTGGACAATTAAGTCCGGATATCGAACCCACAGGGAATATTTAATTATCTAATCCTAGACGCTAAATTCTACCAATTATTATCAAGCCCACCCTACACAGTCGAAAAAGGATTAATAAACTAAATTAAACTAAAGCAATTAAAAAGACAAAAACAAGAAAGCAATTAAAACGAAGATTTAATCAAAGTAAACAAGCCTAGGATTTTATTCTTCCCCTTATGTGATTATTATTCCCCCAATTCCTTCAATTATGCAAGCAATTAACCCGGATTATTAACCTGAGATGCTAAAATAATCATAACCCGTTTCCGCGTGTATTACGATTCTAATACTCTAGATTCAATTACTATATTCCTATGCAATTAATTCTAGAACACAGCATTAAGCACAAATCTCAATAATGGCTACCTAAGAGATTAACTATATTCCTATGTTAATACCACAAAGGCTCTTCTACCACAGTTCTAATTATTAACCCGATCTTCCGATTCATGCGATTAACAATAACATAGAAGCACATAAGTTGATCAAGTTCATGCACTTAATAAAACAAGTAGAAGAAATAATCTGGAATTAAAACTTGCATAAAATCATAGAATTGGGTTCATAAATCCCACATAGGGTTCCAAATAAAATCCTAGAAATAAAGACTTAGCTACTCGTAATTCTTATGATAAATAAAATAAAATAAATAAATTAAATAAGAAAAACTATGCTTGAATCTTCGTTGATCTTCGTTGCTCTTGAATTTGCGTAAAAAGATCCCTAATTGTGTGCTTGGATTGGTCTTATATAGGGTGAAGAACTTGGGGAAGAAGGCAGTTTCCTTGTGCAATTAAAATCCCTTTACTGCGCAACTTCGGGGTATGGGACGGGGGTCCCATAATTTGCACTAAAACTGGGACGGGGGTCCGAGCCTTGTTTCTTCAGAATTTTGATATTTTCACTTTTGACCCATATTTTCGCCAAAATTGCAGTTTTGACCCCATACTTTTCCAATTCTTCAATTTGTACCTAAAATACAATAAATCAACTTTTTAAGCACCAATTATCGTTAAAACACACCAAAAGCTCAAATAAAAAGATACGATAAAGTGTAAAAATACACACTTAACAAGAGCTTAGACCGAACGGTGTTAATGTTAAATGTCTGACAACTAACAACTATGGCCAAATTAAGACAATTTTTCAAATACAAGAGAGCAAATCGATGCAATGGGGAGTATAATGGGATAAAGTGATATCAAGTTAAAGTACAAAGGGGAAAGTGGAATTTACCCAAACAAAATTGTTTGCTTCGTTCGATTCTCATTCATCAGATCGAAGTGCTGATGTGTAAATTAGAGTTATCAGAGGTGTTTGATTGATTGTTTGATCGTATTTGGATTTAATGATATGATTTGAAAATTGATTTTGAAAACGAGATTTAACTTGAAAATCACGACAATGACTAGGAAAAATAAAATTTTTGAACCAATCCAAAAAGTTTCAATTGATTTGAGATTACGGATTTGAAAGTTTTATTATGGATTTGAATGTATATTATGTAATCTTACGTAGCACAAAAACTTCAATTCATTAACGTATCTGCATTTCTGACATGTTTAGTGTCCGGCACTCGAGAACAACTGACAGACACCTTATGAACCATTTTGCAATTTTTGAAAAATTATGAACATGTTTGACCAACAAATTTCAAATTTTTTTATTGTTTCTCTAATTATTTACATGATTTAATGATCAACTGTAAATTAATAATCAATATTTATATATTTTTTTCAGTGTTCTAAATATCGGTTGTGGCGGGCATAAATCCTTTACGATATATGTGTGGCGGTTTTGAAAATCGTTTTTTTGACGGTGAGGCGGTTCGAGGCGGTCTGTGGCGGGTCAAACCGATATATCGGGTCAAACTTCGAAAGATATATCGAAAAATATTTTTTTTTCTAATTTTATTTATTTATTTTTTATTACAAAGATAAATAGGGTGTTTATTTATTTAACTTTTTTTTTTCTTTCAATTCGAACCCATTATCTCTTTCAATCAAACCCAAATTTAATGATCGGGTAAGAAGAACATGGCCTAAAAAAACATTTAGAATGATGAGGAGTGAATCAAGTTGAAAATGTTAAACTTTTGTTATGTGATTAGAATATATAAACGATGAGGAGAGAATCAAATTCAATTTTTTTTATACATTTTAAGTATTTAGAAATATATTACACTAAATTTAAAAACCGATTTATTTCCAATATATCTCCGATTAATCACTGCCGCACCGATTTATCGTGTGGCGATCCCTAACCGCCTGAAACCCGATAACCGATATTTAGAACCTTGATTTTTTTTGAATATATCTATACGGACTGGATAAAAAGAATTTATATATAAATAAAAAAACCTATGCATTATATAGTATATTTATAAATAATAAATATATCAATATTCTTTTAATATTTACACAATTCCCCCAAGTTTGATATCCTCATTGTCGAGTTGAGATACATCGTTTTCTCCTGTCCGTTTCCCTGTTTCTCGTATCACCATTTCTGTATTCGTGCTACACAGATAGAACCACATCTTATAATTAGTTAAACACAAGACTAATTATATTAATATTGATAAATTAACTCTAAAACATGATTAGAGTATTACTTGTTCAAATAAATAACAATAAAATAGAATTTTAGCCAAATGATCAATTAATTCTTCTTCCTCATATAATAGTCAAACACAGATTAATCAAACATTTCTTTTTTCCTCTCACAATCACACTGACACTGTCACCACAGACTGACACCGACAGACCCCAAATCGATTCGTGGCCATCTCAGTACCATTTGAGATTCATATCAAAACCCTAGATTGCCCAACTCGAAGAAGGAGACGAAATCAATTCCGAATCGAGTTCTTCGTTAATCTTCTCTCTATTCAGGTAAATCTCTACGATCAATCGTAATCCGATCGTTGTATTTATTTTACTTTTTTCACGATTTGTTCTTGCCCGAAATCTAGAAAGAAGGAATGTGATGCAGTGAATCTGCTTTTTGTTTGTTTGTTTATTGATGTTTTTTTTGGATTAAAAGTTGTGATCGTTTCTTACCTTGTTGATTTTAGGCGATGAGTAAAAGAAGAAACTAAGCTACGTAATCAGCTGAAACCAATTTAAATTAGTAGCTTCGTTGTTTATTTAATTAGGTTTTCCCTACTTTGTTGAATATTAGGAATCGAGCTGTAAACCGATCAATTGGCCGGTGATCTGTGCTTCGTTCTTACTGCTTTTCGTTTCGGCGGCTACAAAGATTGTTTTCTTTGATTATTCTTGCGGATTTTGTTGATTTTGTTTTCTTTGTGGATTTTTTGGTGTGTAGTATTGTTATAATGTCGAGGAAGATGCTTATTGATGGGGAAGTGGAGAAAACCAATGAAGCGGAGAATCATTATGATTTTGATTTGTTTGTAATTGGGGCAGGGAGTGGTGGTGTTCGTGCCGCCCGCTTTTCGGCTCAGAATGGAGCTAAGGTAAAATTGCTGGAAAATGATGTTCTAAGTTTGCGTGATTATGTATCTCTGTGTTTTTCATAAAGTCTAACTTTTTGATGCATTTCTATTTTTATGGTGTAAGTGTATATAGGGCCGATTTAGATCTAGAAATGGTTAATTTGTTAATTTAATTAGATATTTCTTACTTGATCCATTTATGTAAGAATCCACTTGATGAATTTTTCATTGTTATATTTGTCATCAATCTCTGATTTTTCCTTCGTTTTATTTTTACTGGACAATATTAATCGATTCAGTTTGAGTGCCGCTGAAATAGTTAGATTGATGTATATTGGTAATGGGTCTAAATGTTTTGGGGTTGGCGTGTTTCGAAGCTCCTAGTCTTCTTAGATGTCTATGTTGATAACTGATAAGCTGTGCCACAAAAGGTCAATCAACAGGCTACGCGATTATCATCTTGATTGCATATTAGAAATCATCCAGTCCTTTTTTTCTTTTTATTTTTTTTTTGTCGTAGTTACGTTCCTCAGATAATGTCATGTTTTTGTTATCAATTTGTGACTGAAAGTATAAAATTTTGCTGAACAGGTAGGCGTCTGCGAGCTTCCATTCCATCCTATCAGCTCTGAAGTCATTGGAGGAGTTGGTGGAACGTAAGTCGATGGAAATCATAGACAAATTTATTTTATAAGTGATGCATTCTCTAGAATTTTGTTATAATTAATGGGTTTTATGTTAGTTCTGCTCCGATATCCTCATATGCTCTAGATCCTTTTCCTTTTGTCATCTTCCAAAACAAATACGTTAAACTTAGTCGAATCTATTTCGTGTATGACACAGTCCCTGAAAGTAAAATGCTGCGATAGGCCGGAATTTGTGGCAATGGTGTCGCCTTACTGTTCTTGTACCTCTAAGTAATTCCTGATTTTTCACATGCTGAACCAATGTGGAATTTCAAAATTGTAATGTTGAATAATGTCGCTAGTGTCATTAGGAATGTTCTGCTAATATGGAGATGCAATTGGATCTTTCCTGCTATTTGAGGACATACTCTTTAGATTTCTTTCTCTAAGACTTAGGGAGGGGGTATGATTTTTGCTACTGTTAGAATTTTCACTATCTAACTGTCTTGTAGTCTCGAGAAGTTTGTGACCAGAAAAGTTCGTTAATGACCCTTGCATCGACTTTTTACTGATCATTGTAGTTTTATTTATTGATTGTGGAACATCATATTCCAGATGAAACTGCGAGCTTGTACACTTGATATTCTATTGAAGTAGGAACCTTTGTTGGTCGTATTGATGGCCCTCGACTATAAATAGATGTGTTGTTGACTAATCTAGAGTTATCATATGATGCGTGTGATAGTGAAAGAATGTTAAGAGATATGCAGATACATGACAGTTCTATGTGCTTTAAACATTAAGATGGTCCATTATTACCATTGTAACCGGTCAAATATATAAAAACCTATATGTTCCTTTACAGATGGGTAAGCTATCTTGAAGTCGCTTTAAATTATATAAGTGGTTATTGAGCTCTTGTCTTGTATACTTTCCATTGCATAGCACATCTGAAATTTGAAATATGAAATAAGTAGGACTGAAAATGGAGCTAAAGAACTGATGTTTTATATATTTCAGGTGTGTCATTCGTGGTTGTGTTCCTAAAAAGATATTGGTGTATGGTGCTGCTTTTGGACCTGAGCTGGAGGTGAGATTCTAACATAAGAATATGAAGAAATTATTAGAAACTGCCATTCTTTTGGAAAATACCTGTTCAATTCTTGGGTCTTTATGCTAATTCTTCGAGTAGTCTTTATGGCTAGTTCTTGACTTCCTTCCTAAGATTATTTTCTCTGTTGAAAGTTCCACACTTTCAATTTGAAAGTTTCACACTTTCAATAAGTGTGTATGAAGTAAGACCAACTCTGTGAATTTTTGCATCCTTTTATGAAGTTATATAATATGTGAACGGTTTGAGGTATGCCTGGAAAGTCGTTATTCTTTTGTGCTAATTGTGCTGGCTGAGAAGTATGGGTTGCCGAAACATTATTACTGAAAGGTTTTAGGTCTAATAGGATATTTTGCTTTTATTGGAAAATGTACTTCAATTCTGTCTTTCCTTCTATTTTCCTACTTCATTAAATCGTAAGCGCTATGTGAAAATTATTACTATTTCCATTCGGAGAATGTTGTTGATCTGATCATTTAGTACTTTGGCTTTGTAGGATGCAAGGAATTACGGGTGGGAACTGAATCAAAATATTGATTTCAATTGGAAAAAACTTCTACAGAAGAAGGTCAGTGGAATATATTTGACGTTGTTTGTTGATACCTGTTAAGGTGACTAGCATTCATATCTACAAGCTCTCTATTTGCCTGTCTAGTTTCCTTTCCTTTAGAAGCTAGGCATGAGTTGAGGAGTGTTTAAACTTTCTTATGTCATTCTACTTTTACATGAACGATTCTGTGCCACCTTATCTATTCATTGCTACTATTTTAATGGGAATTTGTGGGAGTTTAAGATGTCAATGAAGCACATGAATGTGAGTATCTCTTTCAGTCGTATTTAAGATCAAGGGTTTCAATGCCAAATGTCTCTTACGTCAATAAATGTTGCTGATATGTTCATTTAATTTTTCTTTTCCTAAAGAAAATATACGTTAAGTTTAGAATCATCCATGAGTTGCCCTGGAAAATCCTCCACGAATTTCACCAGAAAATTCACAAAGCAGCTCAAGGAAAATTGATAATTGCTTACTTTTTATAGTAGATTTGGTTACATGCAACTTTCATCTTATCCACTTAATGTCTCTAACTTGCAGACTGAAGAAATAGTTAGATTAAATGGGATCTACAAGCGGTTACTTTCAAATGCAGGAGTTAAGCTATATGAAGGAGAGGGAAGAGTTATTGGTCCTAATGAAGTGGAATTGATACAATTGGATGGAACCAAAATTAGCTATTCAGCAAAACACATCCTGATTGCCACTGGTGGCCGGGCCCAGCGTCCAGATATTCCAGGCCAGGTATATGATTTTTTTTAGTATAATTTACAGTGTATTAATCTTTTGAATTTTATTTATGTGCCCGAATGATATTAATGCTTTTGTATAATATTAATATTTGGTAATAGTGTTACATGACATGATTGTGCTGCTTAACTTTAATTTGGGCTTGTCTTTAAATATTAATATTTGGTAATACTGTTACATGATACGATTGATATTTAGCATTTCTGTCTAAACTTATGAAGCTGTTGTTTGGTCATAATGAATTTCCTCTTCATCTTATATTATAGCTTGATCTTTAAATACCTATTTCTTATTTTTTATGAAGCTTATCTGTACTTACTTTTTATTTATTTAGGAATTAGCTATCACATCAGATGAGGCATTGAGCTTGGAAGAGTTACCTAAGCGAGCTGTTGTACTTGGTGGAGGGTATAATTCCTACCTCTTCATTCCTAAGTTTATTTTTTTACTTTTTTTTCTGGTGATGAATCCATTTACGGATGCTTAGGAATTTATGTGACCGGTCCCTACTTTTAATACAGGTATATTGCTGTTGAGTTTGCTTCGATATGGCGAGGAATGGGTGTAACAGTTGATCTGTGTTTCAGAAAAGAACTTCCTATAAGGTCGTAAAATACCTGTGACATCCATGTACCGTTTTGTTTCATAAGTTGAGCTCTGCAATTGTGTGATCTAGGTGTGCGATTTTTTCAATAGTTGATCTGACTTAGAGGGAGGTTTCGTAATTTACACTTAAAAATAAATCTTTTAGTGAGGGTATAAATGACAATTATTGTATTTACCTCAAAATACTATATCTTTTAAAAGAAGATGATGAAGTACTAACATAGGCTGTTTGCTTGTGAAACTTACTTCTCACATTGGACTGTCTGTTTCTGATGGGGATTGTTGTTTATCTAATTATCAGTTTTAGTTGGTATACTATAAATGTAATATTTCTCATGCCACTTTTACATGTAATCTTATCACAGAGGATTCGACGATGAGATGCGAGCTGTGGTTGCTAGAAATCTGGAAGGCAGGGGTATTAACCTCCATCCTAGGACAAACTTAACTGAGGTATTCTCCATTTTTACGCTATAGTTATTGCACCACCTTCTCCTTACATTTTACATGCTTGCAAACACTAAAAAACGAAAAAAAACAAAAAAGACAAAAAGAACTTGATAAGAGAAAACACAGGAAAGGATATGTTTGGCTGCATACTAGCTGGATCTTTTAGTTCCTAGTGTTCTTTTTCATGATAATGGTAACATCAATTTCTTCAGAAATTTGAGACTAGAACTTGTAATGCAGCTGGTTAAAACAGAAGATGGTATAAAAGTTCGTACGGACCACGGAGAAGAGATTGTCGCTGATGTTGTACTTTTTGCCACTGGTAATTTTAATCCGTTGCCATTAGTTTTCGTTGTGTCAATGTAATATTAAGATGCTAGCACATTGGAGCTGCGGTAAATGTGTGTGTAGATCATTGTCTACTTGTTGGTTACAGGTAGAGCTCCTAACTCAAAAAGGTTGAACCTGGAAGCTGTAGGTGTTGAGCTTGATAAAACTGGAGCTATAAAGGTGAGTGTTTAACTATTTGGTATTTGTAAATCCACCATATTTGTGCACGTTGCTATAACTTATTGAAGTGACATAAGCCATGCTGGAGACTAAAGCATACGTTTTCGTTACTCTATTTTTTAAAAATGTTGCAAAGTTGCTGATATACATTATTGTAGGTGGGGTGTGGTTAATAAAGAAGTTGGATCACCTCAAGTTTATTCGATTAAGACCTTTTGAAGCATATGCAAATTAAACATCTCGTCATTTTATAGCATTTTACTTCAATATTTTCATTTATTGATACGACATTCTGATTTGTTATTAGTTATTATTAAGTTTGCTGCAGTATTTGGTATTCTGTAGTTCTCTCATATTTGGAATCCCAGGTTGATGGATACTCTCGGACCAACATACCTAGCATATGGGCTATTGGTGATGTTACTAATCGAATGAATCTTACTCCTGTTGCCTTAATGGAAGGAACCTGCTTTGCAGTATGTTTTCTGTCTAACTCTCATTCTTAACTTCCATGTTTGTTTTCTATTAATACATTCAGGTATATTCAAAGATAAAATACTTTTCCTTCTTTTGACATCGTTCTATGTCTAATGTTGTTTGCAGAAAACTGTCTTCGGTGGGCAGCCTACTCAACCTGATTACGAGCATATTCCGTGTGCCGTTTTCTGGTATTATCATCGTTTATTCCTCGTAAACCTTATATATTTCATTCTTTATTTTTTGTTACATACAAGTAGATTGTCTGAGTAACTCAATAATGTGAGTTGTGTGATATGTTACTTGGCAGCATACCGCCACTCTCTGTAGTTGGTCTCAGTGAGGAACAGGCTATAGAGAAATCAAATGGTGATGTTTTGGTTTTCACTTCAACATTTAATCCAATGAAGAACACAGTTTCAGGGTATGTTTGTTACAATTTTATTTAATCTTATCGACATATGTGGGATCAGACTTGTTAAAATTGGATGTTAGATTTTTTAATTTTTTTTAAAAACAAAGAACTAAAGCAAAAATAAAATGAGTTAGCCGGTTCAACCGGTTTAACATGCTTGACTGGTCAAATGATTTTATACCCTCTACTAAATCGATTTTAAAAACATTTCTCTAAATTATGTTTATTTTCAAGGTTGGCCAATATATCCACAATATAATTAAGTAGCTGCATCAATTTGGAATCATATGGCATTAATCTCAGTTCCATGGTTCAGTTGCGTGAAATTGGTTTTGCATTATCTTGTTATATCTATTGGACGCTTATCTTTGTAACATGATCTCTGATTTATGGTATAGACGACAAGAGAAAACAATTATGAAGCTTGTTGTTGATGCTGAGACTGATAAAGTTCTTGGAGCATCTATGTGTGGGCCAGATGCACCCGAGATTATGCAGGTATTCATTAGTTTCTTCTCGTTTATGTTTTTATCTAGGTGTTCAGTACTGCATTTTTAACCGTGTTTGATTCAATATATTTTGCATGCTAACGATGAATAGCAGAACCTTATGATTATTCTCATGCCATGTCCAACTATTCTCGGGCTTTGTTGACTTTTTGGATGTCTATCACAGGGTATTGCTATTGCACTCAAATGTGGAGCTACCAAAGCACAATTTGACGGCACGGTGAGTTTCATCTACTATTCCTTTTCTTTTATTAAGAGCAATTGTGTTGAGAAAGAGTATCACAATAAGTGACACACTCGCGTCTCGGGATTAGTTAAATTTATTATTATCCGACTTGCTTAGATTAAATGATGGGGACCAACCAATCCAATAATTCCAAAATGGCAAGAGATAAAAGTTGGACACATTTAACTTTTTTGTGGAAATCTAACCTATTCCAGACGAACTTCCAATTTATACCAGGCTTATAAATTTCTTCATATTTACCGATAATTCAATTCCCGTTTGAGTGAGATTTATACCATCTTACTGGCATCATTTATTTGATATGCATCAGGTTGGAATCCACCCTTCTGCTGCAGAGGAATTTGTGACAATGCGGTCAGTGACTAGGCGAGTCTCTGCTAGTAAACCAAAGACAAACCTATGAACTCGACACACTCGTCACATTATGTCATACTTTGGACACACACACTGCATTACATTGAATTATGTACTTAATGGACAAATAACGGTATAGAAGAGAGTAGTAGTCTCGTTGAAAGATTTGATTCGATACGTATGGGCATTTGTTACGTTTTCTCCCCAAATATATGATATAGCTGCAACTATTAAAAATCGACTATACAATAGTATTTTACGGTCTTGCTGTTGCAAAAGTAAATTTTCTAGTGTGATGTAATTGCTTCTCGTATTCGGAGAAAGACATCTTTTATTTCTTGAAATTTACAGGGATTGTCGATGCTTTTTCTTTTTCTCTTTCTTTTTTGTCAATATTTTTTTTCTCTTGAAATTTACACGCACACACACCCACATGGATTGTATTCTAATGAAAAAAAAATAGTAATTTTATTTCAGAAAATTGGCAATACAATATTACTTGATGAAGACTCTCTATATTGACCTAAAGTCAACCATCATCCAAGTCAATAATAACACTAACGACATGTTTCCACTAATTATATTATGTGGCAACTTGCTAAACACTCTGAGTTTTAATTGTCTTTCAAATCAGGGCATACCAATTTTTGCAATTTGCTAAAGTTCCTGTGTTTTTCAGACTTACCACATTTCATCAGATCTCGTCCAACCCGTTGAAGTTGCATTCCGTTAAATATGCTTCATTCTTACTCTCTATCATTGCCATCGTTGAAAATCTTTTTCACACAGCTAGACACGCACACACATAATCACACACCTATATATGCATATACGCAACCACATACACGCACAAACATACGAATTTTGTTACACCCATTCAATCTCCGCAATAACCTAATAATCAAGGAAACCAAACGGAACAAATATTAAGAATTGTTTGGTGATGTTGATGGTGATGGTAATGTTGGTGGTGATGTACGCACCAGAGATTTAAAAATAAAAAAAATCGGCTTATTTAACCAAGTTGTGTAACTAAGTTGTATGTGTAAGTTGTGTATATGATGTGAGAAGTATCTATTCTTGTTTTAGTTTTTTCTTCACTGTATTTTAACTAAGCTGTGCAAATTACCATGTCGCGTTTAATGTCAGTTTTCCTCAGCGATTCCGTTACAGGGAGAGAGCGCACATGGACTTTTAGCAAAATGACAATGCGTGTGTAGTACTTATAGTTATAGAGAATATTTTTGAGCGACCTCCAGCTAGTTTCCCTTAATTTTATTGGAAATTTGGGCTGAATCTTGAATATAAGAGGATGTCTAAGAATTATGATAACTCGGGGAAACTTATCGGAGTTGTTCTAAGAATTATGATAACCCGGGGGAAACTTCAACACAACAACGATTAACTAAAGTTTGAAAAATGCCATTTTTTACAGAAACATGCATAACCAAGTTAATAAGTAATTCTAACAAAACTCAATTTTCGAAATTAAAACTAGACTTGGTCTTTTTTTTTTTTTTTTTTTTTTTGTTTTATTGGGGTATTATTATGATCACGCTAATCTCCATATTGCATGTGTTTAGCTTATTTATTTATGATGTACAATATTTTAAATGAATTATATATGAAAATATCATAAAAAGTTAAAAACTAAATCATAGTAACGTGTTATTTCAATATTTAGTATTTCATTTAAAATTAAAAATATACTAAATCATAGGTTTTAATGAATTATCTTTCAAAATAAAAGATTTTGCATATCAATATCTGTCACAACACACGTTTTTCCCCCAAAAAAAAAAAAATTAGATCCACAATTTACCATATGAAAGAGATTTTCCTCGTTGATGTAATTTTGTTACATATATAGGATTATATAAAATCATCAACCTATTTTCCAATCAAGGTATAAAATTTGATTTTGTTCCCCATTTTGCTAGTGGATGTTACACAATCTTTTCATATATGTAATGTATCCATTTACCATAAAATTTCATATAATATTGTAGTTTGTAAAGATCATAAAATTGTGTATTTATGTAGCAACTAGCCACTATTTAAACTCAATTAACTTGTCAATTTTATTCATCACCCTACATAAAAAAAACCCTTAAAAAAAACTTAATTTATAGACAAAGTTAAAATGGAGAAAATCAATATCACTTTATTTTTAATTTGTTTACTTGTTGGTGTTGCACACTCCAAACCAATTATTGGTGAAAAGCAAGCCCTCACTTGGTGCATTGCGCAAGCAAAAGTGCCCGATTACAAGTTCCAAGCATTTCTAGACTACGCCTGCGGAATTATCGACTGCTCAGCCATTCAACCAGGTGGTCCTTGTTCTTTTTCCGATGCGGGACATAGTCAACAATTGCAGGTTCGTGCAGATTACGCTTTGAATCAATACTACAAGGGGAAAGGTACATGCAATACGGATATCGGCATGATCATAACGTTTAATCCTTCACACGGAAACTGCATATTTCAATGAGCTTGAAGGAAGATCCAACAATTTTGATAGAATTGATTTATAATATGTAGTTTACGTTTTTTTTTCAATATTTGAAATAGATGGTTTAATAAAACATAAATTATTTTCGTTTTCTTTTTCTATGCTTCTTTTTTTTTAATTGTGAAATTCAATAAAGATTGGAGATTCTAATTCTAATTCAAAACATAAAATCGGGATAAAATGCGTAGTGGAAGAAGATAAAGGAAGAGCAATTTCTAAATATTTGTTAGGATGGTTTTTGCTAGTTTTTATTTCACATTGACTTTTTTGAGTAATATGCAAAAAAGTACCCCTGTATAATTCTTATCTGCCAAAAACCCCATGTAATAATAAAAAACTAGCAAAAACTCCCCACGTAACGCATTATGAGTAGATCGTGTGTCCCACTCGCTGCTTGTGATTTTTTCTTCATTTTTGCTTATGAAATGACAGAACCTCCAAGCCACTACCATCATCTCTCTCCACTCCCCATTTCTCTCTATTCGAATAAGAAAAAACTCTTTTTCTGCACACATATCCACAATGAAACTCATCGGAGAAGAAGACGGGTTTTATTGTTTTTTTTGGAAAATTGCAATTCAATCCCCTAATTTAAGTTTTACAAGTTTAGCAAAATTGTAAAATTGCCCCTATTGAAGGGTATATTTGTCCTTTTACCTTCAGTCAATGACTAAAATCGTAATTGGTGCAGTGAGCGATTTAAAATTTTACAAAATGAGGTTTTTGCTAGTTATTTTATCACAGGGGATTTTTGGCAGATAAGGATTAATACAGGTGTACTTTTTGTACATTACTCGGACTTTTTTGGCAAAACGAGATTACACAAATGTATATTTTCTTTAGTCCAAAATAAACTTTTCTCATCTCTTCACTTCTCAGAAAAAAAACTTAAGACACCGAACTCATATTTTCATGGTACAATTTCAATTAATCATTTCAATGTTTCAAGAAAAGTAACTACGCACGAAAGTATATATCAAGAAACCACTTTTAGACCAGCAGTAAGCTACTTTTTTTTTTTCACTAATCATCTGAAACTCCCAAAATCCGCCGCCAACCTTCTTCACGAAATCCACCAACCGCCACTGCTGAAAATACATATCTCCAACAAAGTCCACCGTCGGCGATCTCGTTAAAGATGAAACGACCATATAAAAATCACCAAATAAATCGAAAGAAAAATGGAAGTTCGATGTTTTGAGAGGCGCGCGATTGGTAAGGGTGGTTGGAGAGAGAAGTCTATTTGAGAGAACCATGATTTTCCGGTGAGGGGGATTCTACCCAAACGCCACCCTCGCCTACTTCGACTCCGCCGACGAGCTCCAAACCCGGCCATATCCGTTGTTTGAATCCACGTGAGGTACATTTGTCTTCCGTCGGGTCTTGGACGGCGAAAAGATTTCTTTTTTCAAAGGTGCTGGAATTTTTGTTTTTCAAAGATTTCTCTAGTTTGTACTCGTTTTGTGCAAAAAATGCAGTTTGTGGTGCACCACAATCTGATATATGCAAGTCAAAAAACACATGTTATGATCATGTTGCTTCAAAATGTGAAGTTCAAATGTGATAATACAAGTACAAATTAAGAATATTCCATATAATTTAGAAGATTCCACTAAATTTGATACTATAAGGGTGGACGTGTAAGAAGATCTATAGTTGATGGGTGGTTGTAATTACCCAAACATGAGGGTTTTTTTTGTAATTTGACCATACCTCAAGGAGGTGGTTTATAATTAGGGTAAAATCAACTTTCCCCTCTTGTACTTTGGCTCGGTATCACTTTACCCTTTTCTACTCCCGATTGCATCGATTTGCCCCCCTATACTTGAAAAAATGTCTCAATGTGGCCCCGTTGTTAGTTGTCAAACATTTGACCTTAACACCGTTTGATCTAATCTCTTAAATTACAAAAACGTCACCTCTCCTAGTTTAAATAATTATTAAAAAATAATAAAAAAAAAAATCAAGACAACGAGAAAACATAGTCCATGACACCAGCCACAATTTTTTTAATAATTATTTAAATTGAGAGGGGGTGGTTTTTTTTTGTAATTTTCAGACGAGATCAAACTGTGTTAATGTCAAAGGTCTGAAACGAATGGCGAGGGCCACATTGAGACAATTTTTCAAGTATAAGGGGGGAAATCGATGCAATTGAGAGTAGAAGGGAGTAAAGTGATATCGAGGCAAAGTACAAGGGGGGAAAGTGGAATTTACCCTTATAATTACATCAAATTTAACATACATTTATGTATAAAAGGATGTCTATGTCATTTCACCCCAAAATTTACAAAAAGAACCTCACAACCCACGCGTAAGTATTTTTCAAATTTGAACTAGCCAAGGGGCCATGATCCCCCTCGTTTCTCAAAATTCCTAGTATTTTTCATGTATGATAGCATTGCCGACCCCCTGGAAAAGAGGTTATTGCAATTAGTATCCCTTGTGTTATATCGACTAGTTAAAAACTAGCCCATATTATTTTGTGTTAATAGCATTTTGCAATTTGTACTTTGCCTGTTTTTGCATTTTTCCACTTTAATTAAAAAAAATTGCACGGGCACACCCAATCTCAATATTATTACTCAACTACATAAGACGAATTTTCATGCGAATCTTGAAAATTTCTAGTGCACGCGCGACTCACATGATTAAGTAAGTACATGGGGTTTTTTGTCTTTTCATATGAAGATCTCATACAAGGGTGAAATTGAAAGTTACAAGGACTCAATTGAACTCCATTTGAAACTTGCCCAAATTTGAAATTAATTGAAATAAAACTTTGGGTCTTCTTCTTCCATGGGAGTTTCTCCACCATTATGTTTCACATTCATAGTTATATCACACAACCCATGCGTAATTACCACGAGCAGCTCTAAGGGACTTTTTAGCCTTTGACTTTTTAATCACAAGGGGGTTTATGCTAGTTTTTATAACGCATGGACTTTTTAAGCAGTTGAGGATTATACAGTGGTGGTGTTTGCAATTTACTCGTAATTATTGAATCAAATCTACGATTCAAATCCACCCGATGTAAATAACTAGGTGTAGCATACATCTAAATCCCAGATGAATTTGTGACAATGTTGTTGGTGACTAGGCGATTCACTCCTAGCAAACCAATAGACTTGAAAGTTGAAACAAACACACACATGGATGATAATCTAATGAAAAAAAAAATAATAATAAATAAACTAGTGCAGTAACACAATATTATTTTGAGGGATAATTACAGTTTTGGTCCCCCATTTACCGCCGTCAACAAAATACACACTAATGTTGTCAAATTTTAACACATTTAGTCCCTCCGTCTGTTTGACCGTTAAGTAGTAACGGTCAACTATTGAATTATGGTTGAATTTGGGATTTTTCATAGATAAAAATTGCACCCAGACCCCTGCATTCTTTTAAAATATTCTAGAACCTCCTAAAATTTTACCCAACCATAATTTAACCCCAATTTCATCATTTAATCAATTTTGACAAACGACCCCGATTTTTTTACCACCATCACCGTTGACCCTTGACCGCCGTTGATTTTTTTTTTTGTACTTTTTTTTTCGGCATTGATTTTTTTTATTTACTATTGATTTTGACGCCGTTCACCGACATTGTATTCTCGGTTAACAATGTTGACTTTTTTTTATTTTTCTTGATTTTTTTCGAACTTTTTCCTTTAACTTTTTTTTTTCCGATCAACACAATTACTGTATAACACAATAATAATACAATATTAATATATAGTAATATTAAAATTACAACCTTCTAAGAAAGTTTTTATCTAAAATTTAGGGCCTAAATACAATTTTAAAAAAATTCTAAAATCCATAATTTCTTCCCCTCAATTTTTTCTTCGTGGAACCGCGAGTGCATCTCAAATTTCTTCCCAAGAAAATATGAAGAAGATGAATTAGGCATGTGCGGAGTAATTTATAATGAGAAAACCACTCTACTACAACGGTTTTTGGGGCTAGCACCGGCCGTTAATTTTTATCTTTTTTTTTTGTCTTAAAATTTTTTCGTCATTGAGATGCGTTGACTTTTTCAGTTTTTCTTTATTTTGAATTTTTTTATGATATTATTTTCTTGCCGATTATCAGCTTTGATTTTTTTAATTATATTTTTCCATTATTGAACAATTTAAATAAAAATCAAGAAAAAAAAAATCAACGCTGTTAAGACGACATTCAACATTGGTCAACAACGGGAAAAAAATCAATCGACAGAAAAGTCAACCGAGTTAAAAGGAAAGTCAACGTCGGATTACCCAATTTTGAAAAATCGGGGTCATGGGTTAAAATTGGTTAATTGATGAAATATGGGTTAAATTATGGTTGAATAAAATTTTAGAGGTTTTTAGAATATTTTGAAAGAATACAGGGGTATTATTGCAATATTCTCAAAGAAAAACCCCAAATTCAGCCGTTGACCGTTACTACTTAACGGTCAAACAAACGGAGGGACTAAATGTGTTAAAATGTGACAACATTAGTGTGTATTTTGTTGACGGCGGTAAATGGAGGACCAAAAGTGAAAAACGGGAAACTTGGGGGACCAAAACTGTAATTATCCCTTATTTTGACGAAGACTCTCACTGATGATGCTAAAATGTAGATCACCTGGGGTAATGTAGAAAATGTATTGGGAGAGCAAAGCGGATCAGTAGCTTGACAACTTGATGATCCTGAGGTACCTGCGAGATGAACACACGTGAACTACGCCGGGGGTTGATCCGGCGGAAACCCCTCCGACGCTCAAGTCAGACGTGCTGATCATAGAAATAGTCCAGAGAATACGTATTGTAGTATTGCTCAGTTAATAGGACGTACCTTAATAAAATGAGTAAAACCTCTATTTATATGTCATTTATTGGGTTGGGTTTGCTTTGTTGGGCCCAAGCCTTACTTGAAGGTGTTTGGGCCTCGGTGATATTAGTCTTCGATATTGGGCTCGTAGCCCAGTAGGTAAAGAAATTGTAGGCCCATTGGGTTGGCCCAATTAGGCATATCACTCACTATATTGACCTAAAGTCAACCCAACAACCAAGTCAATAATTAATACTAACGACATGTTTCCACTAATTATATCATTGGGAATTCATTTGGACTGAAGAATCTTGAATACACAGAGGATATCGATATGTCTAAGAACTATGACAACTGGGAAAAACTTGTCGGAGCTGTTCTTAAGAAAGAGCAGCTCCGGCAAATTGCTCTGTGTCGTGATTTATCGTCTTCTTCTTCTTCTTCATCATCGTCGTCTACCTCTAGTTTCAGCTCAACTCGTACTTCTCTGTTTCATCATCAATTTCTTGTTTACAACGGGCGCATCCCTCCGCCAATTAATGTACCCTCATCCGGCACAACAATTCATGGGGTAAGATTATTCATTTCTCAGTATTGGAGATATTAATATTAAGTTGGTGTTTGCAAAAGCTTTTAGAAATAGATTATGACTTTTTTTTTCTCACATAATCTGTTTTTAGTTGTTTGTAAAAACAACTTTTGCTTTTGCTTATCGTAAAAGAAGCAGCTTTAAACTGTAATTTATTAAGTACTCGTGGCTCTGCTTTTTCAATTTAAGTTAATTTTCAAGTAAATTTGCAAACACCCCCAACTTTTAGAAATAAACACTTTAAATCAACTTAACTCACAATCCACAACTTCCTGCTTTTAAATAAGCTTTTGCAAACACCACCTAAATGATACATTTCACTAACAGCTTAAACTTTTTGTTGAGATGGTCATTCAACATGATATCATAGCGAGGTTAAATGAAAAGGTTTTGAGTTTGAATCCCTCCGCGCCCATTTCAAATATTTAAAGTGCAAGCTTCAAATGTAATTTGCCTGCACTTATGGGGGCGTAAATAATACGTTTCATTAACAGTTTATGCTTTTGGTTGAGATGGTCACTCAACACTCAGTAATTATGTTTTATTTTATTGTGGTTGAAATGGTCATTCAACACTCAGTAATTCTATTTTATTTTATTACGGTTGAGATGGTCATTCAACACTCAGTAATTCTGTTTTTATTTTATTATGGTTGAAATGGTCATTCAACACTCAGTAATTCAGTTCAGTAATTCAGTTTTATGTTATTATGTATTTAAAATCGTTGCATCTCTCTCTCAGAAGTGCGTTTTTCTTCCGGTGGAAGCAAGAGAATTGACAATATCCAGTATAAACTTCCCGGAGAGACACTTCTTATATTCATCTTCTCACTGCATCAATTTCAGGTCATTCAATATTCATCCCATTCTTCTCTAAAACAAAAAAAAAAACAAATCATCCAATTCGATCTCATTGAAATTGCAAATTAAATTTTTTATATAATTTTTAATCCTAAAATAAAGGAAAATTTGTAGTTTCGGTCCTCTATGTAAACCTAGTTAGGAAAATCGTCCCCTAACTTGTCATATTTCAGTCTTACGTGCAATAACTTTGCAAATATATTATTTTTGGTCTTAATTTGCATGAATTTTTGATTCACCAAACATATACTAATTTTACTTATATGGACTCTTCCAAATAATAAATTGGACATCTAATTTAATCTGGATCGAACATTAGCAATCTCATATGACAAACTTACAAACCAAGTTAGAGAAGCATTTATAATTCTTAAGCGTCCATATAAAAATGGTCCGAGCGGGACAAAATCCTAAATTCAAGTGAATAGGACCAAAAGTACTAAATTTGCAAAGTTATTGCATGTAAAATTGAAATAGGACAACTTAGAGACCAAAATTATAATTTTCCCTAAAATAAACATGCATTGAGTTTTCTAGCTTAGTATATCTGCAGTTGTTTCGAGGTGGTAGAGGTTGATTCTGTTTCGTCAGTCGATATCCGAGGAAAGATAAAAACAAGATTGCTCTCGCCGAGGACAATTTACGGAGCATATCTATGGTTTATTATAACATCAGCTAATAAAAAAATGATGGGTCTTGATTCACTAAAGGCCATGATCAGATTTGTGAACACTGAAACGGACGGTGATGCTGAGACGAGAGGTGATACTGTGCATCTTCAGCCGGCGTGGATGAGAGAAAGGGAGAGATTGCATTGAAGAGAGAAGATGAATGGATGGAAATTCAAATCGGAAACTTTTATATAGACAAAGATGAGGGAGACGATGAAGAGGTGGAGGCGCGTGTTATGAAAACGACTCGATGGAAGACGAGCCTTGTCGTTGGGGGCATAGAGTTTCGACCACTTGTTTGCGTTAGAGAAGTCTAACATGTTTTTCTAATATTGTTATATACTAGTAAGAAATGTTTAGGCTATGTTTGATTGGTGCTTAATGGGCTCCGAATGCGAAAAAATACTTTTTTCGGTCAGCACAATATTGGGAAAATTGTAGTTTTCGTCCCTCAAAATTGTACCAGTTTCACATTTGATTCCCAATGTTCACAAAAAACACATTTGGTATCTCATGCATATTTTCAATAATTGAACACTTTTGGTCATTTCCGTCAGTGTACAGTTAGTTCGTCAGTTAAGATAATGATGGGCACATGCGTGATTCCGTTAGAACTAACGAAAAATTGACGTAAATGACTAAGAGTGTTGAATTTTTGAAACATCAGGGACCAAATGTGTTTTTTTATGAACATGAGGAATCAAATGTGAAATAGGTGCAAATTCGAGGGATGAAAACTATATTTTTTCCCGCACAATATTGTTCAAAATGTTTGGTACAATTCTCCGAATGAAGCAATTCATTGCCGATCGATTAAGTCACAAAAAAAAAAAAACACAAATTGGACTTATTCCTTCAGGACTACGCTGAATGGATTTTATATTAAGGTAAATTCCACTTTCCCCCTTATACTTTGGCTGGATCTCACTTTACCCCATTGTATTCTCAATTGCATCGATTTGCCCCCTTGTACTTTGGTTCGATGTCACTTTACCCCTTTCTACTCTCAATTCATCGATTTGCCTCCTTATACTTTGGCTCGACATCATCTTACCCCCTTCTACTCTCAATTGCATCGATTTGCCCCCATGTACTTGAAAAATTGTCTCAATGTGGCCCTCGCCGTTAGTTTTCAGACTTTTGACCTTAGCACCGTTTGATCTAAGTTTGAAAATTACAAAAAGCCACCCCTCCCAGTTTAAATAATTATCAATAAAAAAAAAATTGTGGCTGGCGTCGTGAACTATGTTTTCTCGTTATCTTGAATTTTTATTATTTTAATTTGTTTTTTTGTTTTTTTTTAATAATTATTTAAACTGGAGGGTGACATTTTAGTAATTTTCAGACTTAAATTAAACGGTGTTAAGGGCAAAGGTCTAAAAACTAACGGCGAGGGCCACATTGATTCAATTTTTCAAGTACAGGGGACAAATCGATACAATTGAGAGTAGAATGGGGTAACGTGATATCGAGCCAAAGTACAAGGGGGCAAATTGATGAATTGACAGTAGAATGGGGTAAAGTGATATCGAACTAAAGTACAAGGTGGTAAATCGATGCAATCGAGAGAGTAAAGGGGGTAAAGTGATATTCAGCCAAAGTACAAGGGGGAAAAGTGGAATTTACCCTTTATATTATTTTATTCCTTTTGAGATATGAGTATTTCATGTTTAAAACCCACCTTTCGATTCTTCTTTTCTCGTCAAATATAGAACCCATACTCCATTAATCAATTCTCATCAAACCCATATATGAGTAAAAGACTTCTACAATTGAGAAAATTGTAAAGATATTAGAGATTGAAAGAAGATTAAAAATTTGTTCTTTGTGAATATTTTGGGAACGAGGATATTTTGGTGAAAATCGAGATTCATATTGTTTATATATGCATTTGTTTGTTTTTTTTCGATCAATATTTGTTGGTTACGAGTTGATTTATAATATAAATTTTAAATTGTGAATTTTGTTAGTAAAATCGAATTGAACAATTTTGGAGGACAATATAGTAAAGTTACATCATTCAGTTATCAAAATGATACAGTCATACCAAACTGTACATAATTTGTTGATTGTGGCTTTGGGAGGGAAAATTATAGTTTATGTCCCTAAACTTAACCACTAAAACGATTTATGTCCCCAAACATTTCAATCCACGAAATATGTCCTCAAATTTGCCACTTTTGACCACTTTATGTTCTGGCGTTAACGTCGGCAGGTTACTTCGACGGAAATAGCACGCGTGGCTAATTTGTTGTCTATGTGGCCGTTAAATGTGATGTGGAATAATATATTGAATATTAAATATTGACGTGGCACAAGAATATACTAATTTCCTCTAACTCACTCTCCCAAATCCCAAATCCTAAATCACGTTTCACTCTCATTCCCAAATTTTCAATCCAATCTGCATTCTTGCTCGAACCCATACTAAAATCGAAGTCATAAACCCATAAAAAATCCAAACATTCTCATATTTGAAGAGCTTTTCCCTTCTCAAAGAACAGCAGATTCACGTGCAAACACATGCCTGCAATCGAGAGGAAGAAGGTAAACGCGACTCCTCTTCTGGTTCTGAAAAAGATCTTAGAGGAAGCTTTAATTCTTCTTCCAACTCCGTCTCTAGAACGTTGGGGCTGTGTGATTCTTCACCTGCTGATGCTTGTGCCCCTTGTGGTCTCGATGAAGCGAGCACAAGGATGGTGAAGATGGCACAAATTCTACCCAACTCAGGAGTTTCAGAACCTGCCCAGAAGGTGTTCGACAAAATGTCTGAACCAATTCCGGAAAAAAAAAACATGCAGCACCTGTCAAAGCTGCATATAATTCTTTTTTTCGCCAAGAATAGAGTGCCCAAGAACGGATTCCTGCTCCCCGACTTCCCCGAAAAAGTGGAAGAAGACATGATATTTCAGCCCGAAGATGAAAGTGAAATCGAGGAAACATTCGGCATTTGTTTATTGGGCTATTTTGCTGGTAAAACACAACGAAAAATGGCCATGGATTCATAGACGATTATGATATTTTCGAATTTCACCTCAATTGAAGGATTCGAAATGGGGTTTTAGGGATTGGATTTACGGGTTCATTGGGGATATGGAGAATTAGGGATTTTAGAATAGAAATAGGGGAGGAGAATGACGTGTCGCTCCACATCACGTTTCGTCGACCAACTAGGCACTGGGTGTTGTACAACTCGACATTTAACGGCCACATAGACGTCACATGAGCCACGCGTGCTATTTCTGTCGGAGTTAGCTGCCGACGTTAACGGCATAACATAAAGTGATCAAAAGTGGCAAGTTTGAGGACATATTTCGTGGATTGAAATGTTTGAGGGTATAAATCGATTTAGTGGTAAAGTTTAGGGACATAAACTGTAATTTTCCCGACTTGTAGCAAAAGGTTTAGATGGGATCGTCATTTAGTTCTAATAAGTTTTGTCACCAGGGACCTGTATCTTAAGCTCCCAAAATTAAATGCATGAATTTTGAGAATTAAAACTATACGTGGGAGAGAATTTTGGGGCTGAAAATAAATTATAAAATTTCAGAAATTTAAAAATAATATAAAAATATTATCCAGAATAAAAGAAATTCGTAAATATTGCAAAAAATTCATAAATTTAAAAGGAAGTTATAAATACTTTTCATAACATATTTTTTTTAAGAAAATTTGGAATAAATTTTTAGGTTGTGGAAAATAAAATGAGGGAAGAAATATTAGGGAAAAAAACATGAAACAAATTGGGGTTAAATTCAGTACAAGAGAGAAAACAAGAGGTACACCTTTTTATACATAATCAGATGTATATTTTCATCTGAAATTATCCAATATTTAGTGCAATGGTCGGTCAACTTTAAAAATGGATAGATTCTTTAACATAAATTGACGATAAATCGTCAGTTTAAAGAGTATTTATCGTACTAATAGTTAAGTTTAATTGGCTTTTTCCATGACATTACTTAGGTAAAGAACAATATAATACAAGTTTTCATCAATCAAATGTTACAAAAATATAAATGGGAGACTTTTGAATGATTTTTATTTTTATTTATTTATCAATATATGGATTAATCATTCTTTCTTTTACAGGTGCTGCAAGAAATATAAAAGCCCCAAGCACGCTTTTCCAATTTTGGGATCCCACTTTTTGTAAACTGCACTTTTCACCACCATTTTTAAGGGGTTTTTGTGAATAAGTCTCCAACCAAGCATCTTTATTATTCTAGGTTTGAGGGTTATATCTCTTTCACCAATAAGCCCATCCCTTTAATATTTATTATAAATAAAGGAAACATTCATGTATATCCCAAGGAAAAATTACAGTTTATGTCCCTAAACTTTACCACTAAAACGATTTATGTCCTCAAACATTTCAATCCACGAAATATGTCCTCAAACTTGCCACTTTTGATCACTTTATATTCTGCCGTTAACGTCGGCAGCTAACTTCGACGGAAATAGCACGCGTGGCTCACGTGACGTATATGTGGCCGTTAAATGTGACGTGAAATAATATATTGAATATTAAATGTTGACGTGGCACAAGAATATACTAATTTCCTCTAACTCACTCTCGCAAATCCCAAATCCCAAATCACGTTTCATTCCCTTCCCAAATTTTCAATCCAATCTGCATTCTTGCTCGAACCCATACTAAAATCAAAGTCATAAACCCATAAAAAATCCAAACATTCTCACATTTGAAAAGTTTTTCCCTTCTCAAAGAACAACAGTGCAAACACATGCCTGCAATCGAGAGGAAGAAGGTAAACGCGACTCCTCTTTTGGTTCCGAAAAGGATTTTAGAGGAAACTTTAATTCTTCTCCCAACACCGTCTCTAGAACGTTGGGGTCGTGTGATTCTTCGCCTGCTGATGCTTGTGCCCCTTGTGGTCTCGATGAAGCGAGCACAAGGATGGTGAAGATGGCACAAATTCTACCCAACTCAGCAGTTTCAGAACCCGCCCAGAAGGTGTTCGACAAAATGTCTGAACCAATTCCGAAAAAAAAAACATGCAGCACCTGTCAAAGCTGCATATAATTCTTTTTTCGCCAAGAATAAAGTGCCCAAGAACGGATTCCAGCTCCCCGACTTCCCCAACGAAGTGGAAGAAAACATGATATTTCGGCCCGAAGATGAAAGTGAAATCGAGGAAACATTCGGCATTTGTTTATTGGGCTATTTTGCTGGTAAAACACCACGAAAAGTGGGCATGGATTCAGAGACGATTCTGCTATTTTTGAATTTCACCTGAATTTAAAGGATTCGAAATGGGGTTTTAGGGATTGGATTTACGGGTTCATTGGGGATATGGAGAATTAGGGATTTTAGAATAGAAATAGGGGAGGAGAATGACGTGTCGCTCCACATCACGTTTCGTCGACCAAGTAGGCACTGGGTGTTGTACAGCTCGACATTTAACGGCCACATAGACGTCACGTGAGCCACCCGTGCTATTTCCGTCGAAGTTAGCTGCCGACGTTAACGGCAGAACATAAAGTGATCAAAAGTGGCAAGTTTGAGGACATATTTCGTGGATTGAAATGTTTGAGGACATAAATCATTTTAGTGGTAAAGTTTAGGGACATAAACTGTAATTTTCCCGCTTTGGGACAAAAAGAAAGAACATAACTACTGATAACTATAATCATTTGCAGTTGTTTCCAATACAGTAAACATATGGGAACAAATCTAAAAAATAATAATAAGTTTTAAAAAAATAAATAAATAAATATAAAATATAAAAATAACAAAACGAACAAACATGTTTTTATACGAAAAAATAGCAGAAATGCTAAATGCAAGACTAAAAATGCTAAATGCAAATGGCGAAAATATTGAATACAGTTAAGAAAAAAAAAATGCATATAATGACAGTATAATACTTTTGCTTAAATAGTTATTTTGGCTTACATTTTCACTAGTTTAGTAGCTAGCTCCTCAGGGGAGCATCTCAAATGAGCCCTATTTTTAAGGAAACACTATTTCTAAACACAAAATCATATTAACATGTTATGTATATCAGTTAAAATAAATATAAAATACTTCAAGAATAATAGTGCTATTAATTCATTACAAATAAGACTCTTGAATCTTGATGAATTATCTTTCCAAAATAGTTATATAATCGACACTTAAGTTTTCACAATTTTGCATATCAATTTCTATCACAACACACGTCTTACATTAAAAAAAATAAAAAAAATTACATACGCAACTACCTTATAGAAGGGATTTTTCTTATTGATGTAATTTTGTTACATGGAATTATATAAAATCATCAACCTATTTTCAGTTAAGGTATTAAATTTGATTTTGCTACCCATTTTTCTAGGGATGTCACACAATCTTCTGATATATATGTATACACACAATTATACCCAATCCATTAATAAAAGTTTCATATAATAATATTGCAGATTACAAATATTATATGAAACCACTTTAGATTAGGTGAAACAATTTCAAAACAATGTGTCTTTATATAGCAACTAGCAACTATTTAAACTCAATTTATTTATCAACCTAAATAAAAACCTCAACAAAGTTATATTGTAGACAAAGTTTCAATGGAGAAAATCAATATCTCTTTATTTTTAATTTGTTTCATTGTTGGTGTTGCGCACTCCGAACCGATTGGTGATAAGCAAGCCGACCATTGGTGCATTGCTCGACCAAAAATTCCTAATGAGAAGTTGCAAGCATTTATAGACTATGCTTGTGGAATTATAGATTGCGCAGCCATTCAACCAGGTGGTCCTTGTTATAATCCCAACCCTGGACTGGATCCTGGAGATAATGCACAATTACTGGCTCATGCAGATTACGCTTTAAATCAATTCTACAGAAGTAAATATGTATGCAATACGGATGTCGGTTTTCTCATAACATTTGATCCTTCGTATGGAAATTGCAAGTTTCAATGAGCCCAAAGGAAGATCCAAGAATAAGCGACAATTTGATAGAATCAGAAAAGTAGCTAGATAATGTTTTCCAATATTTAGAATAAATGATAACATGAGAAAAAAAGCTAAATAAGTATATTGTACACATATTTTATAATGAATAAGATTCGATTAGACATTGAATTTGTCTTCGAAGATATCAGTATGCTAATGTTGATATTATATTGTTTGTTGAATGTATTTAGCAGTTTAAATGCAAATGTATCAATACGATTCATTTGATGCATATAGGTTTATAGTATTGATATTAAAATTTTGAGCATCAAATGGTGATTGACTATCAATATGATTGACCATCAGCAACAGGTTCTGGAAGTCTAGAACTTAAAAATACATGAATATACGCATAGAGAGCTTACTTAGAGAGCTTAGGACGATCTCAAATAGCTTATTTAAAGAGCTTAGACCGAATATTATCAGTGATGAATAGATACACTTCACTCAGAAGTATACACACTTGAAAAATATAAAGTGAAGACTACAAGAACTTAGTTACGTAGCCTATTGACAACCACCTCTCCCCCAAATCATACATCTAATCAAAGTGAACCAACAACTACCATTCATATCATCCAAAGGTGCATTTACAACGCATATTTCCTTTTCCAACGACTGTTGTGGGTGAATTTGTGATGCGTACATGTGTGTGAATGTGTACTTATTCGATGACAATGGTGACAATGGCAGGGTGAAGACGGCGGTTGCAGGATGGGGGAAGACAACGGTGGTGCATCGAAAATAATTTTGAATCTGAAATAGAAGAGCAAAGGATAAGAGAGAAGGAGTGAATGGGTTAAGGGAGAAAGATATCGATAATTTCATCTGAAAATGATAGATGACTTTTAGCAAATTGAAAAAATAGACCGTCCTGATCTGAAATGGTATTAGTGGTTAAGAATGTTTAGCAAACTGCCCCATCTAAAAAAATGTAATACATACCATGATACCAATCAAAAATACTAAATTAGAAACTGCGCTAACTTCAATTTCCATTTGTGGTTTTTTCTTTTTTAATTACTACAAGACGTACTGAAATTCTGGTTTAAATTATCATTTAATAAAAACAAAAATATTTGGAAGAAAATTCCAATTAATAAATTTTAATTTGTAAAAAAACCTAATTTTATGTCATTTCTCATATTACTTTTCTAACTTTTTGTAGCATATGGATACACACAAATTGCACCCTTTTGTTTCTTCCAATTATATCGAATGCATTGACAATAATAAAGAGCTATTGATGCTACAAATCTAAAATATGATGATTTTTTTGCAATCTAGAGATTCTATTAAAAAGAGTTCATTGAAAATCTTGAGATTTTGAGAAAAATATGAAAGAAAAGGTATTTGTTTGTATTTTAACGTGAGAAAAGTATTTTTATTAAGTTTCGGAAAATTACAATTTTATACCCTTGTGTTTCTGCAATTTTAAAAAAATCCAATTAATTAGTCCCTCAACTTTATAAATTATCTGCTTAAGGGGGAGTTAGATGCCACACCTGATAATTTACACTGGTGGGATTTGAACTGCAAATTTGATTAAATGACTACCCACTAAGTTCACATACACATATGACATATGTATGTTTGTGATTATGTGTAGATTTACGATTCAAATCCACCAGTGTAAATAACCGGGTGTAACATTTGATTCCCCCTGTTTAAGGGCTGTATTTATTTTTATTGCAGAAAACCAATCAACCGCTTAAATGGCAAAAGGGTTGAGTGTTTAGTCCAACACATTTGTTAGGGGTATTCCGGTTATTGAGATGCTATACCGGTTCATATACACCGGATGATTTCTAATTATTGATGTGGTTAAATAACCATCCACTCAGCACACATATACATGTGTGTGTGATTATGTGCAAATCAACGGTTAATAATCACTCATCGTATTTCACCGGGTGTAACATCAAATAAACCGGGGTATTCCTTCTAGGTTTTATTTTATAGACTTTTCTAGCAGATCGAGATCGAGATTACAAATATGTTCTTTTGGGAAATTAGATATTACATCTGGTTATTTATACTGGGTGGATTTAAAGAGTGTATCTATGCATCATACACACATACCAATGTGTGTATGTGCTTACTAGATAGTTATTGAAAAAATTACAGTTTTCATCCCTCAAGTTTGCATTGATTTCACATTTGACCCCCTATGCTTAAAAAAAACACATTTGATCCCTCATGTTTCAATAATTTAACAGTTTTGATCATTTTTGTCAATTTACCGTTGCTCCATCAGCTAAGACAGTGATGGGAAAACGCTTGATTCCATCAGTACTAATGAAAAATTGACGAAAATGACTAAAAATATTGAATTATTCAAACACGAGGGGCCAAATGTATTTTTTGTGAACAGAAGGGTCCAAATGTAATATCGGTACAAATTTACGGGACCAAAACTGTGTTTTTCCCCGAAAGTTATTTAATCAAATCTATGGGTCAAATTCAAATCCACCTAATATATATAACATGTGTAGCATTTAACTCCCCGTACTTTTTACACTTGACAGTTGACTCCATATATGGCGGCTATTACGGTCAACGACCAATTAAATTTTTCTCATCTCTTCACTTCTCAGAAAATACCTCAGCCACCAACCTCATTTTTTTCATAGTACAAATTGAATTTAATCAATTCATATTTCAAGAACCACAACTACACATGAAAGTACATATATTCCTGCAGATATAATTGTTGGCACCGGATTTCCACGAAGGAAGAAATCCGCCTCACTTGGGAAGTAAAGATTGACTAAAGATTTGTTCCCATGTTTATTTTGGAAATTTAGTGTCCTACCTTTGTAATACTTTAGGACTTAGATTTATTTCCTAGTACTTCATTCTTGTTAGGAATCTTTTATGGTTATCTAGATTAGAACTAGATATTGACTAGGATTCTGTTTCCTAGTTATTCGATTCCTTTGGAAGACAGGTCTTTGGAGGCCCATCTCACGCCTATATAAGGCTCCTCACCTCACAAAGACCGTGACACTTTTTGTTGGGAGAAAAATCACTCCGTTGCTTTGAAGAATCGCTGAAACGTTCTGCTGAACAGAACTGTGCCATCGTTGGATGTGTCAACATATACAGATTGGCTGTATAGATCTCTTGGGAGATCAACCGCGTCACTGAAGGGAGTTCAGGCCAGAAAGGAGTTCTAGGCACGCGGTGTGGAGCTGCTGTTGGAAGAAACACGAAGTTCGAGTTGTGTACAAGAACGGCATATTACATAAAGATGGAGTCTTTAGTGTTTTTAATAAGTCCTATTAATGTACACTGTAAATCTGAACTAGTGAAATCGTGTTTGCAGGTCCACGTGGATGTAGGGCACAATTGTGTCTGAACCACATTAATTCTTGTGTTCTGTTTATTTACTTTAAGTAGAGTATAACTGTGACAACACAAGATTTACAGTTGTAACTGAATACTGTTTCCACAACTTAACTGTTACAACTTAGATCAACTGATTTCTATAGGCATATAAATCAACAATTGGTATCAGAGCCTCTCACTAGATATACATAGTGTGTGATTTTGGGAATTTGATTTATTTGCCATTTACTATTCGTAGGTACTATGAGTTCTCATATGGAAGGAGGTTCCACTACTCGCCCACCACTGCTCACGGGAACCAACTACTCCTATTGGAAGACTAAAATGAAGATGTTCATAAAGTCAATGGATGAAGATGCATGGCGAACAGTGTTAACTGGATGGAAGAGACCAGTTGCCACAGATGAGAAAGGGATTGAAACTGAGAAGCATGAGAAAGACTGGAGCAAAGCCGAACAAATTGCAGCAAATATGAATTCCAAGGCCTTGAATGCTATATTCAATGGAATTGATATCAATCAATTCAAGATTGTCTCGGCGTGTGAATGTGCTAAAGAAGCATGGGAGAAACTCCAAACAGCCTACGAGGGAACTGCCTCAGTCAGACTATCCAAACTTCAAATGCTTGCCACCCGGTTTGAAGATCTTCGTATGGAAGAAAATGAGACCGTGAGTGAATTTAATTCCAAATTATGTGACATATCAAACGAAGCTCACGGCCTCGGTGAAACTTATCCTGAAGTTAAACTTGTACGAAAAGTACTCAGATCCATGCCAGACCGATTCGCGTACAAGATCACTGCCATAGAGGAAGCAAGTGATGTGGACTCATTGCGACTTGAGGATCTGATTGGGAATCTACAAACTTTTGAAAACAAGTTAAACATCAGCAGAATGGACAAGGAAAGGAAAATTGCTCTGCAAACTGTATCGGACACCACAACATCTGTGCCTACTGGTCCTATGTCAGCACTTGAAGTCAAGCTCACAAAATCCATGTCCTTAATAGCAAAAAAATTCGGGAAATTCATCAAGAGAAATGGACATCCTACAAACTCTGAGAGAAAACCTAGGACCTCTACAGACAAGCCAGAAGTCAAAAAGGGAATTCGATGTAGAGAGTGTCATGGTTATGGTCATATCCAAGCAGAATGTGCTAACACTCTGAAAAAACAAGGAAAATCACTTGCCACAACTTGGAGTGATGACACCTCAGAGTCTGATGATGAAAGTGAAGCTAGTGACGATGATACAAACAATGATTTCTGTGGAACTTGCAGAATCACAGAAGCCACACTCGAGGACATCACATGCACAGAACCGCCACATCTCAGGTATGTCACACAGGAAAACGAAAATTACGAAAATCTAAATATGCCTTTTCTGTCCACAGGGAGTGACGAATCAGAAGATGAAGGTGAAGAGTCCATCCAACAATTTCAAACACAATTGGATGATCTCCTGAAGCAATGTCATGAAGTTAGTAATGAAAATAAACTCCTGAAAGAAAGAATCAAAGAACAAGAGGAAGAAAACAAAGGAGTTATCACAAAACTGAATGACAGGATTGATGAACTTGAGATGGAGATTGAAGTCTTTGAAGTGGAACAGGACTTCGCACAAAGAGACATCGACAATCTCAAAGATTTGTTGAAATACTGGCAGGACTATGATGGTGAAAGAGCAAAAAGGGTGAGGAAAAATCTTTTTCCAAACGTACATGCTAATGATCACCAAGATGCTTCACCGCCTGTTAGCACAGTGTTTGATGCCTCTGTCAGTAAGTTAAATCGCACTGCATTTCTTCCCTCAAATAGATTAGATGAAATCATAAATGCTCATCCTTCCAATTCCAAAAGAATTGGGTTAGGGTATACTGATGGACAATCTAATGCTAACACTGGGTCAAACCAAAAGATCAGATTTGTCAATTCCACATCTTCTTGTGTGAACAACCAAACCTATCCTACTAAGTTTATTCCTATCTGTCACTTCTGTCACAAAATAGGGCATGTCAGGCCTAAATGCTTTAAAAGATGGAAATTGATAAATAAACAGTTAGCATATCAGACATCCAAATCCGCTGCGTGGGTTACTTACTCTCAAAGTAACAACTCTCATAAACAAAGGATGAAAAATGATAGTACTAACTGCTGGTCAGCTATTTTATCTTTAAATGCATGTGCTACTAACTCTTGGTATTTTGACAGTGGATGCTCCAAACACATGACAGGTGAAAGGAATTTCTTATCAAATCTGCATAACATGTCTAGTGGACAGGTTACTTTTGGAGATGGAAATAAGGGTTATGTAAAGGGAAAATGAGACTTAAATGTTGGAGGGTTGCCAAACTTGAACAATGTTCTGTATGTGGAAGGTTTGAAATCAAATCTTCTGAGTGTAAGTCAGTTGTGTGATCTATACGACTCTGTATTGTTCACAAAGCGTAAGTGTGAAGTATTTGATGAAAACAAAAATTGTGTTCTAACTGGATACAGGTCATCAGACAATTGCTACAAAATTGATCAGATTGACAAATCGGATCAATGTCATCACACTTCTTCTGATCTCACTGATCTCTGGCATCGGAAACTAGGTCATTTAAATTTTCATGATCTAATCCGTCTTGTTAATACAGGTTGCGTGAAAGGGATACCCCAACTGAAGACTGACACACCTGAGTCATGTGGTGACTGTCCTCTGGGAAAACAAGTACGGACATCTCACAAGAACACAGATCATGCAGGGACTAGCAGGACCTTGGAACTCATTCACATGGATCTAATGGGACCAATGCAAACCGAGAGCATTGGTGGAAAAAGGTATGTTCTAGTTTGTGTTGATGATTTCTCAAGGTTTACTTGGGTACGCTTCATTAGGGAAAAGTCAGATACCTTTTATGAGTTCAAAACTCTGTGCAAGAAATTGCGAATTAAAAAATTCAGCAATATTGGAAGAATTCGAAGCGATCATGGGAGAGAGTTTGAAAATTCTTCATTCACAAAATTTTGTGATAAACACGGTATCTCCCACGAATTCTCAGCACCAAAGACACCACAGCAGAATGGTGTGGTAGAAAGAAAGAACAGAACTCTCCAAGAAATGACTCGCGTAATGCTCATCTCAGCAAGAGTGGCCACAAAGTTCTGGGCTGAAGCTATGAGCACTGCCTGCTACACCATAAACCGTGTACACCTCAGACCAGGTACCAAGAAAACTCCATATGAAGTATGGAAAGGTAAGAAGCCTAACTTAAGTTACTTTCATGCCTTTGGGTGTGAATGTTACATCCTGAACGATAGAGAACAACTCGGTAAGTTCTCTGCAAGAGGAGACAAAGGTACCTTTCTTGGTTACTCTTTAAACAGCAGGGCATATCGCGTTTATAATGAACGTACAATGACTGTTATGGAATCCATTAATGTAACATTTAACGAAGTTTTATCTGCAGAAATGGATGAGGAAGACGCTAATCCTGGAAAAACCATTGTACCAGTACAAACGCCAGGCGTCAGCACAGAGGAAGTGACGGCAGTGAAGGAAAGCACAGAAGGAGTGCCAGCAGCGAAGGAAAGCACAGAAGAAAGAAAAAGACCATCAAAACGAGTTGTAAAAAATCATCCTTCTGAACAGGTGATAGGAGAATTTGATGAAGGTATGAAAACTCGAAATAAGCCCAAAGTTGATTACCAAGAAATGGTCAGGTATGTTTGCTATACTTCTACTATAGAACCAAAAAACATCAAAGAAGCAATTCTTGATGAGTATTGGGTACAAGCTATGCAAGAGGAACTTGAGCAGTTCACTCGACATGAAGTGTGGGAACTTGTTCCACGACCCGACCAGGTAAATGTTATAGGTACAAAATGGGTGTTCAAAAACAAAATGGACGAACTTGGTAATATAACTCGCAACAAAGCCCGTCTTGTTGCTCAAGGATACACCCAAATTGAAGGAGTAGATTTCGATGAAACATTCGCTCCGGTAGCACGTCTTGAGTCAATACGTCTTTTACTCTCAGTTGCTTGTGTTTTAAAGTTTAAACTCTTTCAAAGGGATGTAAAAAGTGCGTTTTTAAATGGTCTCTTAAATGAAGAAGTATATGTCGAACAACCAAAAGGTTTCGAAGATCCACTCAAACCTCAACATGTCTATAAACTTAAAAAGGCCTTATACGGTCTCAAACAAGCCCCTCGGGCTTGGTATGAGCGACTTACGACCTTTCTAGTCGAAAAATGATATAGAAGAGGTGGGGTAGATAAAACACTATTTGTCAAAAATTTTAAAAACGAAATCCTTTTGGCTCAAATCTATGTGGACGATATTGTTTTTGGGTCTACTTCTGACCACAAGAAAGATGAGTTTATCTCTCAAATGTCAAACGAATTTGAAATGAGTATGGTTGGAGAGCTAACTTACTTTCTTGGCTTGCAGGTAAAGCAGATGAATGATGGAATTTTCATCACACAAAGCAAGTATGCCAAGAATCTGGTAAGTAAATTTGGGTTAGATAATGCAAAACCTCTAAAAACTCCGATGAGTCCTACTGAAAAGTTGGGACGCGACTGTGAGGGCGCAGACGTGGATCCCACATTATTTATACAGGAGTATGATTGGAAGTTTACTTTATCTTACTGCCAGTAGACCTGACATTTGTTTCAGTGTAGGAGTATGTGCTAGGTACCAATCAAATCCTAAAGAAAGTCACTTAAGTGCAGTCAAACGCATCATACGATACGTGAGTGGAACTCTTGAACTAGGGATATGGTACTCCAAAGATACTAATACTTGTCTTGCAGGATACAGTGATGCTGACTGGGCAGGAGATGTGGATGACAGAAAAAGTACTACTGGAGGCTGTTTCTACATGGGAAACAACCTAGTATCTTGGTACAGTAAGAAACAAAACTGCATCTCTTTATCAACAGCTGAATCTGAGTACATAGCTGCAGGTAGTTGTTGCACTCAACTTCTTTGGATGCAACATATGTTGAATGACTATGGCTTTCATGAAAAACTCCTTCATATATTCTGCGATAATGAAAGTGCCATAAATATCTCAAAAAACCCTGTCCAGCATTCTAGAACCAAACACATAGATCTTCGACACCATTTCATCAGGCAATTAGTTGAGCAGAAACGTGTGACTATAGATTATGTGTCCACAGACAATCAATTAGCTGATATTTTTACAAAGCCCCTCGATTTCCTAAGGTTTGATTCCTTGCGTAAAGCGCTTGGGATTTGCCATGTGCACAACTGAATTTTCTATGATAAGTGCAATTAAAGTTTGTGTCCGGATTGCACTTGAATTCTTTAATCGGACATTATATGTGTCACCTACAAATGTGACATCTCTGTTTTTGGACTAGGAATGATTGGAGGTTCATTTTGACTAATTGTTTGTGTGTTAGTTTTTGTGAATTAATTTTTGTTTCCACAGATAACCATGATAGAAGTGTGCTGCCCCCTCTATCGGGAGTGATCAATGACTATGACCTCATTCATCTCAAAGATCATACCTCTATTGGGAGAATTATGCTACCGCATATGCATCTCTGACTTCTATTTAAAAGCTATGTGGATTCTTAAGGAAGTTGCCCTCTTAATGTTTGCTTGAACATCATATCAACAAAAAAAAAGGGAGGAGAAGAAAAATTAGTTCGAATTCAAAAAAAAAAAAAAAAAAAAAAAAGGGAAGAAAAAAAAAAAATAATTCGAATATAAAAGAAAAAAAAAAAAAAAAAAAAAAGGAGGGGTTGGGATGATATTCAAGCATATATTAAGAAATTCTCCTTGAAGTCCACGATCGAATTGCTGTGCTAATCGCATACGCATTCATCACCCTTAAAAATTACCTAAATTATGATTTCTTGAGTATGGTTATGGGGTTATAGTTATATCGTGCATCCAAGAGCTTGTTTGGTGGCCTTCTATTGTGATTCTCTTTAAGATTATCTAATTAATTAATGAAAACCAAGCCCTCAACTCTGAATCTTGTGATCTTCTTGATTTTCTTTTCCTTAAAAGTTTTTTTCTTTTAATTTTTTTTTTAAAAAAATCTTTTTTGGGCTTTGTGAATTTTTGGCTCTAGTTGTCTCTGGCCACGTGGCTATAGCCATGTCATCTGCCTTCTTTATTTTTTGATGTTTCGTGTGGAGAATATCTTGCTTGTTATTGGTGGCGGATTTTGTGGGATCTTATTCTGATTTGAAAATATCCAGTATCCGAAGAGTCCTCTCTTTTCCTGCCTATTTTCTCGGTCTCTGTGCTTTAAATATCCGCCTCCTTTAGGGTTTGCTTCTCACACTTTATTCTTTCTCTTCTTTTCTTCCGCCGTTCCTTTCTTTTTTGTTTTTCTCTGTGTTCTCTATTCACCATGGGCAAGAATCGATCTGCTGAGGGCTCCAAGAAACGACGCCACACTCCATCTGCCTCGCCTGCTGAGAAGAAGTCCAGAAAATCCTCAAAGAAAGTCCGCCCTACTGTTGTGGATGTCTCTCCTGCTCCTGTCACCACAGATCTGGACCCCGTTTCTACTCCAGTGGCTTCACCTTCACCAAGTCTCAAGACTAGTGATGTGCCTGACCCTGTCGACACCGGCGTGACTGCTCTTGACGGTGATAGCCTCTCTGCAACCCCACAAGATGATCTGCCCTCAGATCCAGAGGTTACCCCCCGCAATGTTGAGTTTCCTGTTCAACTCCGCCGCTCTAATCGAAAACACGAAGGCCCATCTGCCTCCTCTCCTGCCTCCGTGTCTGAAGGTCAACAATCCTCTTCTTCTGAGCCTATTCCTGAGGATGACCCTTTGCGTTCTGAATCCTCTGATTCATCTGTGGGCTCTCAACTCTCTGCTGGTAACTGTTTCTCTCCTCTCTTCTATTCCGCTCTTGCTAAAGAAAATTGGGATAGTATGAGTAAGCGTGCCTGCTCTCCTGAGCGTGTTTTGTCTAGGTCTGTCTTACCTTTGTCTGGGATTTTCCGTCTTCTAAAAACTCAAGGGTTGCTTGGCACTATTGTGAGTGCACAACCTTTTGAACGATCTGTTATTGTTGAGTTCTATGCCAATCTTTCTGATCGCTTTTCTGTTGTGGGTTCTCGTGGGTATGGGAAAGTGTATGTGAGGGGGTCTTTCTATTCTGTGACACCTGCCTTGATTAATGAGTTTTATAAATGTCCAAACGAGGTTTCTTCCAAACCCTCTGTTTCCAAAGACACTCTGGCCTCTGTCCTCACTGCCAAAGTTCTGAAAAAATGGCCTGGTCCAAAGTCGGCTTTTCATGTGTCTAAGCTGACTCAGCTGTACTCAGTCCTCTTTAAAATATGCATTTCCAACTGGTTTCCCACTACTCACAATGCTACTCTCAATCCCACCCAAGCTGAGTTTTTATGGTGCATCACTCACGACCTCAAGATCAATATTGGTGAATTAATTTTCACTCAGATTGGTGCCTTAGCCAATTCCCGCACCGAGCGTGAGCATCTGCCGTTTCCTTCTCTGATCTACCAGCTTCTGATCAAACAAGGCCTGCCCACTCGTGATGCCACTCTACTGGACCCTCCTGGCCGTCCAATCACTATCCACGGTAAGGTCCTTTCTGAACATTTTGCTGATCTGCCTCCTGTCGATCCTACTGTTGTTCAGACGGTCCCACGTGTGAAGAAGGCTCCTATAGTGGCTGCCTCTGTTCCCATTGTAGCTGCCTCTATTTCGCCGCCAGTTGATGTGGTCACCAAGGATGAGCTCACTCGTTTTCAGGAGTCTATCCAGACTCAGCTAGCTCAAGGGTTTGCCTCTATTCAAGATCAGCTGCTTAGGACTTTGGCACATTCTGGTCAGAAAGGGGGAGTAGCAACAACTCCAACTCCTGCGGCTTCCACCAAGACCAAAGATAAAGGCAAAAAGCAGGCATCCCTCCTCACTCCTCCACAGCCCAGCTCTCGTGATGATGATGATTTGTTCTCTGGCTTTAGTTACTAAAGCAGAGAATTGTGTTTCTCGTTTTTATGTTTTTTTAAAAAAAAACTATCTGCTATTACTTTTGGTGCTATTACTTTTGGTCTGTAATAGCTTAGTATTGTTTTCTTTTTGCATCTTTGACTCTATGTGTTATCTCTTTATCTGCATTGATAACTATTTTTGAGTTAATTTTGGAGTTATTATATATCTCTCTCTTATTTGTCTCACTGCAGGAAATACTTAAGTAGCACTGCTTTTGTGCTAACAGTATGTGATATTATGTGCTAACAGTCTGTGATGCAGGGGGAGTGCTAACAGTCTGTGATGCAGGGGGAGTCTTTTCTCTTTCCGTCTTATCTGCAGGGGGAGTTCTTGGTAAACATGGGTTCTGACCAAATCTATGCCAAAGGGGGAGATTGTTGGCACCGGATTTCCACGAAGGAAGAAATCCGCCTCACTTGGGAAGTAAAGATTGGCTAAAGATTTGTTCCCATGTTTATTTTGGAAATTTAGTGTCCTACCTTTGTAATACTTTAGGACTTAGATTTATTTCCTAGTACTTCATTCTTGTTAGGAATCTTTTATGGTTATCTAGATTAGAACTAGATATTGACTAGGATTCTGTTTCCTAGTTATTCGATTCCTTTGGAAGACAGGTCTTTGGAGGCCCATCTCACGCCTATATAAGGCTCCTCACCTCACAAAGACCGTGACACTTTTTGTTGGGAGAAAAATCACTCCGTTGCTTTGAAGAATCGCTGAAACGTTCTGCTGAACAGAACTGTGCCATCGTTGGATGTGTCAACATATACAGATTGGCTGTATAGATCTCTTGGGAGATCAACCGCGTCACTGAAGGGAGTTCAGGCCAGAAAGGAGTTCTAGGCACGCGGTGTGGAGCTGCTGTTGGAAGAAACACGAAGTTCGAGTTGTGTACAAGAACGGCATATTACATAAAGAGGGAGTCTTTAGTGTTTTTAATAAGTCCTATTAATGTACACTGTAAATCTGAACTAGTGAAATCGTGTTTGCAGGTCCACGTGGATGTAGGGCACAATTGTGTCTGAACCACATTAATTCTTGTGTTCTGTTTATTTACTTTAAGTAGAGTATAACTGTGACAACACAAGATTTACAGTTGTAACTGAATACTGTTTCCACAACTTAACTGTTACAACTTAGATCAACTGATTTCTATAGGCATATAAATCAACAATAATTAATTAATTCTTTTGTTTTTTTTGGTGGGTTTTCTTGATTGGGTAGGGAGATGAGTAAGAACTACGACAACTGGGAGAGGCTGGTGGCGGCGGTGCTTCTCCGGGAGAAGCTCCGGCAGCTTGCTATGGTGGAGTCAAGGGATGCCAGCACCATTAGCTCCCGATCATCTAGTTTTAATTCTTCTCTGTACTTTCCTGTTCATAATATAAATGGCCGCCGCCACCACCACCAATTAAGCTTCGATGAGGCGGCGGCGATGAACGGTTTCAGGCGGGACAGCTTTAGGCTCATGGATAATGATGATCAAGAAACCAATTTCAGACCAGCAGTAAGCGTTTATTTACATATTTATTATTGTGGACGTAAATAGCACTTAAGCCCCTGTGATTATAAGTTTTTGCAGATGAACTCCCTGTGCTTGTAATTTTCGCTTAACCATCTGTGTCAAGTGTTGAAGTAATTTTTTTGCAGATGGCCGTTTTGTGCTTTCATTTTCCCTTTCATTTTTTAGATGACCCCCTTGAAATTTGACACACGCTGTTAAGTTTGACGGAAAAACTAACGGAAGCTACCCGTAAATCAATAAGAAAACCAAGAAGATATATTTTGAAGATAAAATTGACATAAGTTTACAAGTATTATTTGATTAAAATTGACTGTAAAAAGCCCTATTATATTTGTTCTGCAATCTTTTGTAGATGGCACTCTTGTGCTCGTAATATCAGCACATAACCCCCCCTTTGTAGTTTAGATGGGGTAACTTCTGTTACTTTTTCTGTTAGATTTAACTGTCTGTTTCAAACTTCAAGGGGGTCATCTGCAAAAATGAAATGGAAAATGTAAGCACAAGGGGGTCATATGCAAAAAAACAAAAATTCTGTAAAGTTTGACACAAACGGTTAAGTTTGACGAACAAACTAGCGGAAGCTACCCCTCCTAAACCACAAGGGGTTTATGTGTTGATATTACGAGCACAAAGAGATTATCTGCAAAAGCTTGTAACCACAGGGGGTCAAGTGCTTTTTACAGTCAATTTTAATCAAATAATACTTGTAAACTTATGTCAATTTTATCTTCAAAATATATCTTCTTGGTTTTCTTATTGCTAATACATTAACAATTAATCGCATCGCCTTTCGAAACTCTAGGAACAGAATTTTTCCTTCGACGAAAAGACCGGAAAAAAATGTTACATGATGGGAGCAAGGGATCTCAATATTTCACACGGAAACAGCTCACAGAATTGGAAATGGAGATTTGATGCCGATTCCAGGTTCGTTTTCGAACGCCTCACTATCATTTTCAGGAAAGCGAAAAACGTTTACTAATTTTGAAAATTGTTTTAACGAAACATTTTCTCGTAATGCTTAAAGATTTGCGGAGGTGGCTGAGCTCGATTCAGTATGGAGGCTCGATATCCGAGCAAAGATTAGAACGAAAATTCTGCAGCCGAGGAATGTTTATGCAGCATATCTAGTCTTCAAGATAGGAGAGAGATCCGAGGGCATTGAATCGGCCAAGGCGATGATCCGATTCGTGAACGACGAGTCTGACGAAGAAGCTGCGAAGCGGGCTCAAGTCGTGCATTTTCACCCCGGGCCAAAAAGTACTACTACTACTAAGTGGGGAGTTGCGGTGGAGAGAGTTGGCGGATGGATGGAGGTCGAAATCGGAAACTTCTATATTAGCAAAGGGGATGGCGGCGATGGGGAGGTGGAGGTGCGTCTGCTGGATATCCGCAGGCGGAAAATGGGCCTCATTGTTGAAGGCGTTGAGTTCCGACCTACGGATAGGTATTCGGAGACTCCACTTATTTCCAAGCAATTTTTGTTGACGAGGGTATTGGGATGATAAAACGCAAGTGCGTGCGGAAAATTGGAAGGGTTCGTCATATATTCGAATTGTCATCTAAGTTTTGTAAATTGATTTTTTGCCATTCAAATAACTTATAGTTTCAACCATTTTACCTCATAAGTAGTTACATTTGAGATCTATATTTACTTTCTCTTTTACCTTCAACTTATGACGAGCATTGTAAACTGTCTGATCCAGTACACAATCCAGTACACAGTTATGTTTGTTTGATTCATTTACTTTAGGAATATTTATTCCAAAATTTTCAATTTAAAAGGGCAAAAAATGGCCTTTCAATTTGAAAAATAGATTTTAAAATAGAATTTAAAAGGGGCTACTACAAATAAGTTCATTATGGATTACCTTTGCATAAAGAGGTCCGGACCAAAATTTTATTTACAAAAAAATTCAGAGTTGTGTAAAAGGCTAGAATACTCCTTCACATTTTAATATGCTCTAATTTCACTAATTTGACCTCTAATCCAATTTTGACTCCAATTTTGATGGTCTCCGCCGGTCAGCCAATGTTACTTGTCGATCTCCGCCATTGATTTTTTTTTTCTTCCTTATGTTTTTTTATTGTGGCCGCCGCTGATCGGCGGTCAACGTCGACTCCAATGGCGTTTTCTTTTTTTTTTTAATTTCTTTTTTTGAACATTTTTTGGCCCCCGTAAAAAAACAGTAATATATGTTACGAGAAACCCCCTGACGTAAGGTCTAATTACAAAAATCTCCCTCATGTTTGCGTAATTATGAAAATCCCCCTAAGGTATGTTATCGTCTTACATTGTCCCCTACGCCGTTACTTTTGACAAATCCCAACTTAAGGATTTGACAAATTCGACCCCGGTGCTACAATTTAGTAAGTTGAAGTATGCCCGTGCAACAGTTTTCCGTTCAAGGGGTAAAATACAAAAATGTCTAAAGTTAAGGGGATTTTACGCTGTTCACCCTAAAACTTAACACGTCACAACCGAACGACCTCTAAATGCATTTTTCAAATAATAAAAACTTTGCATAATTATTTTCGAAATTTAAAATCATAGCGCGACTATAAAGTTCACTCATCAAACACTAATAACATATTCCAATAGTGAAACTAACCAATGTATAGCAATATTCTCTAAATTAGGATCCCTTCAAAAGATGATCAAGATTGTTTTTCGTATTAAATTGATTTTGTTACCTATTTTGCTAGTGATCTTACACAATCTTTTGATATATGTAACATATCCACGTACCATTATATTAATAAAATATCTTAGATTGTAAAGATTATAATATTGTGTCTTTTATGTAGCAACTAGCTACTATTTAAACTCAATGAATTCATCACTTTATTATCATCACAATTTAAAACCTTAACAAAGTTCCATTATTGTAGACAAAGTTCCAATGGAGAAAATCAATATCTCTTTATTTTTAATTTGCTTACTTGTTGGTGTTGCGCACTCTAAATCAACTATTGGTCGTAAGCAAGCCGTCGATTGGTGTATTGCCATAGCAAATACTCCTGCAGACAAGTTGCAAGGATTTATAGACTACGCGTGCGGGGTTATAGATTGCTCAGCCATTTTACCAGGTGGTCCTTGTTATGCTCCCAACAATTTATTGGCTCATACAGATTACGCTCTGAATCAATTCTACAAGAGTAGAGGTACATGCAATGCGGACATCGGCGCGATCATAACAATCGATCCTTCTTATGGAAACTGCAAGTTTCCATGAACCCGAAGGAAATCCAAGAACAAGCGAGAATTTTATAGAGTGGAAAATGTAGTTAGATAATATTCTCTAATATTTGAAATAAATGATATCGTGGGGGAAAAAGAAAATCTAAATAAGTATATTGTATACAAATTTTATGTTAAGTATTTTGAAATGAAATGAAATGCTAATAAAAGATCAACTAGACATTGAATTTATCTTCGATATTACTCGGGAAAATTATATTTTTCGTCCTCATACTTTACCCATTTTTTCAAAACTGTCCCTAAACATTTTGGAGTTACAATAGTAGTCCTTAATCATGCCCTTTTTTGACAGAATTGGTCCGTAACTTTTGACAGTTAAGTTGGATGGAAAATGGCATGTGCCTCTCACATGCCTTCAATTCAACAACACACATTGTGTCTTGTTCAAACAGATTTTTTATAATTATTATTTTTAATTAAAATTGAATATAAAATCAAAATCACGTAAATTCCAAAAAAAATCAACTCGCTTCGGATATATTGTTTAAAAAATAAAAAATATAGTTTAAAATTTTAAAATATTGTTCTAAAATCGGCATTTTTGGAATTCAATTAAAATATATCGTTTCAAACCAAAATAAAAAAACCCGATAGGAATTGAGGAATTAGAAATCTCCATTCCAATTTTCACCTCTAGTCAATTCCAAAAATCCAAATTGTGAGACAATATGTCGAGTTTTAAATCATTCAATATGGGTGGAAATTTGAAAGGAGTTTCCTTATGCTGCCTAGTTTGACCGAATTTTTATATTATTTTAAAGTAATATTTTCATTCAATTTCCAAAAAGTTCGATTTTAAAACACAATATTATTTTTCAGTCAATATTATGATTTTTAAACAATATTTCTGAATTTATTAAAAAAAAATATCGAGTTTTAGATTATTAAATAAGGGTGATTATTGGAACGGAGTTTTCTTACTCCGCCTATTACGATCAGATTTTTATGTTATTTAAATCAATAATTTTTATTTGGATTCAAGAAATTCCGATTTTAAAACATTATATTATTATTTTAGACAATACTACTAAAATATTTTGAAACAATTTATCGAGGTTTACATTATTAAATTAGGGTGAAGATTGAAATAGAGGTTTCTTATCCCACCTATTCGGATCAAATTTTTATTTTATTTTGAAACAATGTTTTCATCTGAATTCCGAAAATCTTGATTTTGAAAGCAATATTTCATTTTTTTTAAAAAATGTTTCAATTGTTTAAAGAATATTTCTCAAAATATTTTAAAACAATATATATCGATTTTGTTTTTTTGGAATTTATATAATTTCGAATTTCAATCAAGTTTTAATTATGAAAAATCTGTTTTAACAAGATGCAATGCGTATTGTTAAAAGCTCATTTTCATGTAGTGTTGTAAATTGAAAGCATGTGAGAGGCACATGACATTTTCCATCCAACTTAGCAGCAAAAATTAACGGCGGACCAATTCTGTCAAAAAATGGCATGATTAAGGACTACTAATGTAACTCCAAAATGTTTAAGGACAGTTTTGAAAAAGTGGGTAAAGTATGAGGATGAAAAATGTAATTTTCCCATATTACTCAAATGGTGGTTGAGTAACTCAAGACCCCATTTTGATGCTCCACATTTTTTTTGGGTCAAATTACGAAAAACCCCTCTTGTTTGGGTAATTACAGTAGCCCCCTCCTTTTAAATATTTTTACATATCGTATATTCAGTTCGATAAACAGTATGAAATGTTGGCGTACCGAAATTTCGGTTCGATTTCACCGATTTAACATCCATAAATTTACCTCTGGACATAAAATAAATAAAATATTACTTATTTTTGCTTCATGTTTTATGAATTACTCAAAACATTCGCGCGCGATCATTTCATAAAAACTTGGGCCCCTCAATCAAATTTTCTGGTTCCGCCCCTGCGCAGATGACTGGAGAAGAACGCGAAGGCTGGACGGGCATCGCAGACGGCGTAGGGCTGGAGAAAATGGAGGTTGAAGAGTTGTTTGGAGGTGGAAGTGGGTTGGGGACGAGGGAAAAAAAAAGGAAGAGTTGGTGATGAGGGCGAAAGAGGTGTGGGGTATTGAATATATTAATATTAAACAATACATTTCACTAACCGCTAAAGCTATTGGTTGAGATGGTCATCATCAGGGGTGATGAAGTTAGTCTAGGAAATGGTTCTTAGGAAAAATTGCAATCAAGTCCTTATTCAAGTTTCAAAAATTTAGCATAAATTATAATTTGGCCTTTATTTTATTTATAATTTTGATTCAATTTGAACACAATTTTATGTTATTTTATTTTATTTTATTGAAGGGTATATTTGTCTTTTCATCATCAGTCAACGATTAAAATCACACTGCTCGAGTTATTTAAAAAAATTCACAAGGGAACTTTTTGCTAGTTTATTTATCATAGGGAGTTTTCTACTATTTCGAGAATACACTGGGGTACTTTTTGCAGTTTACTCTTTCAATATATCAAGAGTATGGAGGGGTTCCTTCGACCCTACACCCGGTGTTTTTCACCGGGTGTAGGGTCGAACAAATCAGTATGGAGGATATAAAGATTTGGGGGGCCAAAACTCATATTAAATGATATTGGGGAAAAAAATACAATTTTCATCCCTCAAGTTTGCACAAATTCCATATTCAACCCCTCATGTTCACAAAAAATATATTCGGTCCCTCATATTTCAAAGTTTCAACACTGTTCATTTTCGTCATTTTCCGTTAGTAATAACGGATCAAACGTCCGTCCATCATTGATTTTACTTCAGACTAATGGGAGATTGATAAAAATGGCCAAAAACGTTAAATTATTAAAAAACGAAGGACCAAATTTATTTTTTGTGAACATGAGCGACTAAGTGTGAAATCAGCAAACTTGAGGGGTGAAAACTGTAATTTTTCCAATGATATTATTAAAATAAATTAACCAATGGATCTGCTTCTTTTACATCTCATCTGACACAATTTTCAGAGAGAAACCCTAAAATAATTTCACGTGCGAACCCATCAGATCGGACAAACTACAGATTAAGATTAAGGTAAACTTTTTCATCAATGTCTCTCCAGTTTCATGAAATTGTATCTTCATTAATTAGGTGTTTGCATTTCTCTTTGTTCATGGATTCATGTTTTCTGGGATTAGGGTTTGATTATATTGGATTAGATTGACTAACTAATCATTAAATAGTAAGATGTTTGGTTTATTATAAGAGATCGGAGTTTCGCAACTGTCGAAATCTGATATTAAATCTGATTTCTCAAGAACATGTCTAATTGAACAATAATCATATCGTAATTTAAAGTATTTCATGTCGAAATTAATCATAAAAATAGGGCAACTACTAATTTCGTTGCATAATAAAAAGCATTTAATTGCGAGTTTCAGCTTTTATACCGGGCTTAAGTTAGTTTAAAAATTTTGTCGGCCGAATATTTTACTAACTTCTACTATTTAATCAACACAACTTAGTATTGACAAACGAACGAGGCCAAATAATTTTCGAAATACTTCATATTTTTGCAAAATCATTTCCCGAAAATTAAAAACCAGACGAGGATTTAAGATTGCACATCAACCAAGTGAATCACTAACCACTAGTAGAAAAAAAACTTTTTACTAATTTTTCTTTTTCCAACAGTAAAAAGTCAGAACAAAAGGTACATTTTACTACAGGACAATAAAATCTTGAAGGCATAGTAAATGCTAAGATTTACTGGAGCAAAAAAATATTTGCTACCGCGATTTACCGTAACAAAGTTTTTGTCACGCCCGTGCATGATACAGGACAAATTCGTAGCAAATGCATAACAAAAGCCTTTTTACTACGAATTTGATACATTTTGTTGGTTACTGGTCGTAGTAAAAAACCATTTTTCTACTAGTGAACACTAATGAGTAATAACATATTATTTACTACTGTTTATCAATGTTAATTAATCAAGATTCTTTTTGCGCCAAGCTTTTTTCTAGGATAAAACTCGAATAAAGAAAGATGTCTACAAACTATGACAACTGGAAGAGACTGTTGAGAGCCGTACGATTTAGAGAGCTAGACAAGCAAATGATCTTGTTAAAATCCACAAAATCTCCATTATCTAGTTTCGATCTCGGTTATAACACGACTTCCGCAATAATCGACGACAATAATCCTCAAACGAGAAGTCTATTAGCCATGCACAATTTAGGGGGGGCGCTCGACCACAATCAATGGAAGGCAATGCTCCCAACCGGCAAAGATGTACTAGTTTGGAAATCAAATTGTTCATTGGTGAGGACTTTTTTTTTCGTATATCCTTTTCTCGACTATTCTATTTTTTTGTAACACATTTGCAAATTTAATGAACAGAGTTTTTTTATGGACAAAAATGGCAAGAATTGTTTCTTGTTTGGAGCCTACTCAAGACCCGGAATTTCACCGAAAGATGGCCTCAAATTTACTTATGACCTTAAATCCAGGTATTTTGTGCAAATTTTTATTGTTCATTATATATATATATATATATATACACATTTATTTTAATTTTATTGCAGATTCGGGAGGGTGGCGAAGCTTAAAAATAAATGGGGGGTCGATATCAGCTGCAGTATAAGTGCACAATTTCTTTCGCCCGAGACTACATACGTTGTATATCTTGTGATTGAATACAATTATAAGAACGAGAGTAGATCTCCTCAGAAAGCACTTTCATTCGTCGGTTTTAACGAAAGTAAATGGGAATACGGTTACTCGAAAGAGCGAGCGAGGATTGTGGATTTCGGACGGATCAAAGAGAGATCGGATAGATGGGACGAGGTTGAAATCGGGAGATTCTATGTTGGTTTGGAAGAAGAGAATTCTTTTAGAGAAGAGCGAGATGTGCTCGTGCAATTGCTCGGAAGTAGTGGATACATTATCGAAGGTATTGAGTTCCGACCTTTGGAGGAAGAGTCTTGAGGAATTGTTTTTCTTTTCTTTTTTTCGAATTTAAGGATTTTCTAAAACTTATAATTTGTGGTGCGAGTGGATTGAAAATTGAAAACCTACGTTATCGATTTACTGAAAAACTCCTCGTGTTATTGATCTTATGATATTTTTTTCTTATAGCGACACTTCCGAAATGGTTAGTTTTTCGGGGCATAATTTGCTAATAGTATAACAAAGAGAATTTTTTTTTTTTTTACAGTTGGCATAATCAAAGATGGATTAAGGTTTATTCCTTCAACCTCATTTTTTTCCTCGAAAATCCCGTCGTTGCATCCCTAATTTATTTTCTAACATTTTGAATTCTTCTCCTTCCCACATCTGCATTGGTTTCTAGTATTAATTAGCAGATACTACAGTTTCGAAGAATTAGTTCGTGAACGAAATTGTAGGATTTGAAGGGGATTCTTTTGGAGTGATTAGGGGATTTGAAGAATTAACCCTAAACTCGTTCCGAAAGTAGCAAATTGTTATAAAGCGAGAGCAACGTGCGTCTCACGGTACATTATTTCTCATATTTAAGAAGATACAACAAGAGAATTAATTGTTTTGTAAAATTGCATGCGCTCCATAGTTTTGTCTTCAATAATTAACAAGACCTAAGAGGGTGTTCGGGTAGCTTATTCAAACTTATAAGCTCTTCAAGGGTGTGATATAAAAAAAAAATCTTAGAAACTCAAAAAATAAGTTGCTGGATGGCAAATAATAGCTCTTCTTCTTTAAATAAAATTAATACCTAAAATAAGACGTAACAACTTATCAGCTCTTGAAACAAATTATCAAATATAAGAGTTTATCAGCTGTTTAAAAATGCACAAATTCGCACCCGCACAGAACCCGTTTTCGGGGAAAAAATAGAATACGTACCCGCCTCATTAATTTGTGGGGCGGTATTACCCGAAAACTTCGGGGCAGATACCCACGGGTCGGATAAAAATTGCCATCCCTAATTACAGGGGATGGTTAGTGCTAAAAACTCATAAATAAATAGAACCTAAGACAAATAAACAAAATCGGCTCCAACAACCCTCCCACCCCACCCATCCCCTAACCCCCACAAATCTACATGTAGCTCTGCCCCCAGTGTTTGGTGCAAGTTTTCGTTAACACAAGGAGATTTTATGCAATACTCGCGTAAAATAGTCGGAAAAAAAGATATTCGTCGAAAAAAGTCTCACCACCGAATAAATTGAACTTCATATTAGTTCGTCTTTATCAGCTGGGATCATTGCCTTCCATCTGTCGGAGCTGTAATCGCAAGAAATTCATAGATTATAGACTTCTCTTTTGCGGGTCATTTTCGTCGATTGTTGCAGAAGTCGTGTTGTAACCGAGATTGAAACTAGATAATGGGGAATTTGTGGATTTTAACAAGATCATTTGCTTGTCTAAAATAGTTGAATTTTAATGTGTTGTCGAAACATGGATTAGATCGAAGCTAGTGAGTGCATGTTTAATTGTTATTAGGACAAAATGCACTCCGCCCCTTAAAAAAGCTATTTTTTGCACTTTCCTCCCTACAAATACAAAAAAGAGACTTTGCCCCTTTAAAATGCAAAATGATATGCACATTGCCCCATAATCAACTTCCGTCCAAAATTATGTCAGAATTGGGTTTTTATAAAGGGTATTTTCGTCAATTCAAGATGGAACTACTATTAACCTTTTCCACCTCAAATTGCTACTAGTGAAACGGAGACAAATGCCATGGCTTAGCCCAGCTCCAAATCCACCGGAAGGAGGTTAATAATTCACCAGTTTAATTTCGGGACCACCGATTCCGCCGGTGGTGGTGGCGGCGCGACGGAGGATTGATACGCTGCGTCTGGTTTGTTCGGCACCTGGAGATTGGAAAAGTACTGGTGGGATTAATTTATCCTTAAGTTGCGGAAGAATGAGGTGAGATGATGATGATGTTGGGATTAAATTATCCGTGAGGGCTGGGAGATTTATCCAACGATAAGTGATGGGATTGTGGAGAAATAGACTGTTCATGTTCTGCAGAGCTAGCCAGCCGTGTGAAGATCCGACCGTTTTAATGCCGCCAAGTACCAGATCTCTTTGTTCCGGTACATCGCTGCCGTTGACGCACCTGATTATATGTCCTCTCCTAGGCTGTAGAACATGTGAACCCAGTCTCGGAGTGGTGGCAGCGCATCAGCAACATGGGTTTCAGAGTTGGCGGCGGCCGGAAAATAGCAAGAGGAGAAAGTCCTTGTTTCCCAAAAATAGTGACGAGTGCTGACACAACGAGGTTTCATGGGAGCGCACGATGTCCGAGAGTGTTGTGGGATGAAATAATAATTCCTTTGAAGTGACGAAAATACCCTTTATAAAAACCCAACTCCGGCGAATTTTTGGACTGAAGTTGATTGTGGGGCAATATGCACATCATTTTGTATTTTAAAGGGGCAAAGTCTCTCTTTTGTATTTATAGGGGGGAAAGTGCAAAAAGTGGTTTTTTTAAGGGGGCGAAGTGCATTTTGTCCTTTTTTTTAATTTCTTCAATTTTCATGGGTTTTTTGGCGGGGCAGGTCCCGCAGGTTTTCTATGGGGCGGGTGCGGGTTGGTAAAAATTATACCCATTGTAGGGCGGGGCAGGTGCGGATTGAACAGGTTTCTTAACGGGGCGGGGGCGGAAATGCCAAACCCGCCCATGGCCAGGGGCGGATCCACCTATGGTCTAGGGTGTGCAGTTGCACACTCTTGGATTTGGAGAAATATTATTGTTATAGATAATTTGACAAAAAAGGCTGTTGGTTGAGGTGGTAAAGGTATTCTGAATCCACTAATAGGTCATGGGTTCGATTCCTCACTCTCTCAAAAACTTACTTCTTTTTCAAATCTTAACATTTTCACATTTTTTCTCTTTAAATATTCCACAATTCACCCAAAATGTTTAAATTGTAAATTTTTGGTCCACTATTTTTATAAAAATCTTAACATTTTCACATTTTTTCTCTTTAAATATTCCACAATTCACCCAAAATGTTTAAATTGTAAATTTTTGGTCCACTATTTTTAACATTTTCACATTTTTTCTCTTTAAATATTTCCACAATTCACCCAAAATTTGTAAATTGTAAATTTTTGGTCCACTATTTTTATAAAGTGATATTTAAATTTTTTATTCTACAATTTCGAACCCCCTTGGCAAAAATCCTGGATCCGCCACTGCCCATGACCATCCCTACATGTGATCTCTAATTGTCACAAAAGTCCATATTTTAAAATAACTAGCAAAGACGTCCCTATAAAAGTTAGTCAAAGCCAATAAGGTCCCTGTGAATTGGTCGTGCGATACACTCACAAATAACGCAAATGGGGTTAATTTTTTAACTTAAAAAGACTGGAATACCCTTTAAATTAGAAATTTTATAAATAAGCCTCAAAATGAAGTTTTCAGCATTTTCAATTTAATTAGTCCCTTTCGCTTTGAAAAGGGCCCTCTTCTTCCTTAAGTAAGGAATTGATTTGCAATTTTCCAGAAATACACTTAACATAGCTGAGCTGCCGCTCTTCTTCGGGCGAACAACCTATCCGGCCTCACCTTCAGTTCAACCATATCCCCCTTTCTCCCGCCGCTTCAACATTTTCTCCGACGAAGTTCGGTTCGGTTTAGAGCTTCCCACACCTTTTTCCGCCTATATATTGGAGCTTTTTCATCACACCAAATTGAGAGCAGGTTGAAGAAAGATGTGGTGGTCGGGGAGAGTGCAGTGGAGGCTGAAGATTGTTTAATTTTGTTTCTTTTTCTCATTTTTTAATTTAAAATTGAAATATTGTTTAATTTTTATTAGGAAGTTTCGTCATTTCACAAAAGTCAATAGATAATTTTGAAATAAGGGGTGGTGTCTTGCAAAACACAACGTACAGGGGTTAGTGCTAACTTTTTTAATTAACATGTCGATTTCTTTGGTCAGTGCTAAAAGCTCTTAATTTATTTATACATTGTAGTGTATTTGCATGCCCCAATCCCCTAGAAATTAATATACCCACTTATATTGCAAAAATTTCCGAGCTTAAAAAGTTTTAAATAAGGGTAAATTACAAACACCCCCCTGAGGTATGGTCAAATTACAAAAACATCCCTCTTGTTTGGATAATTACAACCACCCCCTCAACTCCTCAAATTTAGTGGGAATCTTCGAGATTATATGGAATATTATCACTTGTGTACCCGTTTTATCCCATTCAAACTCTACATTATGAAGCAAGATGATCATAATATGCGATTTTTAGCTTGTATATATCAGTTTGTGGTGCATCGAAATTTGTATTTTTACACAAAACGAGTACAAACTAGAGCACATTCCACGGAATCTAGATGATTATGTTGAATTTGGCACAATAAGGGTGAAGGTGTAAGAAAAAATCATAGTTGAGGGGGGTAGATATAATTATCCAAACAAGAGGGAGATTTTTGTAATTTGACCATACCTCAGGGGGGTGTTTGTAATTTACCCTTTAAATAATGATATCATTGTCATATTATTTAAAAAGTTAACTTCGAGGGCGGGCAAGTCTTATTTACGGTGAGTCCCTCGCCCCAGGCCCCCCATCCTATGGCTCAGGTCGGAATATTGAATTCTTTGTTATTTTTTTTTTTGTAACGAATGACAACCATAAAGGTGTACCGGGTAAACCTACACTCATATATAATAGCCTGCAAACAACACGAGAGACGTAAATCACATTAGGCTAACCATGTGTGACAATCTCTACCTAGTGACAGTTGACAAGGGAATTTAAACCAGGGTAAATTGACACATGCTCACTTGCTTCAACCGCTAGACCATATCTTGTGGGATGGAATATTTTATTCTATTTACAATAAAAGTTGCTGATGCCTTTTTTTTTCCTTCTTTTTTGAATTCAATATTTTTGTTATTTTGTTCTCATATGAACTCAAATACCACTAGAATTATTTATTGGGTAAATTTCACTTTACCCCTTCGTACTCTGCCCAAGAACCACTTTACCCTCTCGTACTCTCAATTTTATCGATTTACCTCCTTGTACTTGTACAATTTCCCAATAAAGCCCTCTTCGTCAACCTTTTTCGATTTTGACTCTGACGCCATTTGGTCAAGAGTCAAAATATTGACGTAAATATTGATTTTTTTTCGATTTTGACTCTCGTGATTAGAAAAGAGAAAGTTTCACACATTCATATATTTTTTTTCTTTGCACTGGGTAGAATCGATCAATTTTTGGGTCTTGATTTTTACTAAGTTAGGGGTTCAATTTGGGGATATCTTGGAAGGGGAAGTGGTGGGAGAAGAAGAAATGACAATATTGATGGAGAAGAAACGACGCGTTATAGGCAGTGGCAATTGTGTAATTTACAGAGTTGACCAAACGGCGTCAGAGTCAAAATTGACAAAAGTTGAAGGAGAGGGCTGTATTGGGAAATTGTACAAGTACAAGGGGGTAAATCCATGAAATTGAGAGTACGAGGGGGTAAAGTGGAATTTACCCTTATTTATTTGAAATTCTTGGATCAAAATCGTATTTAGTCAGATGCAACCTAAGTTTTGAGTAGTTAGCAGAGCTGAGGTGGTGGAGGTTGATTCTGTTACGACACTCGGTATTCGTGACACTACAAGAAAAAGTTGCATTACCGATATCCCAATTGTGACACATACAAAAGTTGTAACTTAATACACACATTAAGTGACAACATCTTTTTTATTGTCACTAATAGCTCTTTTTATTGTCACTTAATCCTTATTTATTGTCACTATAGAGCATTAGCGACACCCCGTTAGTGACAAGTATAGTGACAACACTTTTTGCTTAACTATGTGAAAAATAGGTGTTATCACTCATTTTTTTTAGACATGGCCACGGGGCGGGTCGGGTCCGGGTCCGGGTCGGACCCGCCGGGTCCTGGTCCGGGTCCGACCCGCCGGGTCCGGGTCCGACTTTTGGAGGACCCGAAACCGACCCGCGGGGAGCCGGGTCCGGGTCCAGGCCGGGTCCACCCGGGTCCATCCGGGTCCGGGCCGGGTCCGGGTCGGGTCCGGGTCGGGTCCGGGTCCACCCGGTTTTTCAATTTTTTTTTTTCAAAAAAGAAAAAAAAAACTTATATTGAAACTCACTACAACATAACTGACTTTTAATAACACTATCTTATAGCGTTTTTTTCAACAAGTGCTATTATTACATTTTCGGCTTAAAAGAATAAAAAAAATAAACGCTATAGATTAGCCGTCCCGCAGGCCCATGAATTTTTTTTGGTCGCCGTAGAATAAATTAGATTTTTAGTGAGAGAAAATTTCATTTAGCCTAACCATCATTTTTTTCCTCACAAAGCCAGTAGTGAATGTTTTCTCTCTTCGATCTGCCGACCAACCCGACTCCATCGTCTTCCCGTTTCTCTTCCTTCCAGTCCAGACATTTTGTTCTCACTATATATTTCTCTCATTATTTTGGATTTTTCTACTTTTAATTTATTTGCAAAAATCCCAAATTCTACTCAATTCATTTGCTCTTACTTCTGGTTGTGAGTGTTCTTGTTGGGTAAAGTATGGGTTTTATGATTCCCATATATTATAGAGCCCAATTGTTTATCGAGTTATGTGAAAATTGTTGAATTTTCATAAATCTCATATGGTTCTTTTAATATGACGACTGCGAGAAACCGGTTCTTCTTATAGGGTTGATTTATCTTTTCTTATTAGAGTCATTTTGTTGAGAAATTGGTTAAGATTTTGTGTTGGCTCTTAAAATTTAAATACATATAACACTTATTTTATTATTTGTGGCGGATTTTATTTTACGGAACAATCATATTCCCTCTTCTCTGTTGAAATTATAAGCAAATTGCACAGATTCAAAATGGAGAAATACTTTCGGGAGTACTCTTCTTAATGACTTGGGGATTCGTCCACTAACTGTAAGTGTAGGAGAAGTTGTATTATTTTTAGTTTTATTTTTATTTTCATTATATGCTCCTCTTAATATTGATAGTTTTGACATGTAATTCCAATGATTTTAACATGATTGATTCATTACCTAAAAATATGTGTGCCTTTCTATGGTTTTAGAAGCATTTTATTGATTGGCTTACGTACTGATAAGTGATAACCATTGATGTTCGGTTCTGAATTGTGATTCATGGTGTGGCCATCTATTCGGCCTCTTCGTTATGAATGTAAAATCTTAATGTAAGTGGCTGTAAATTCTTTATAATTTCTTTTGTAAGTTTTTACTGAAATGTGCAGTATATGTACTTATTAATTGTAGATCTAGTCTATAAAAACTTATTCTGGTCTTCTTTACCGGGCATAATGTCTTTGCAATTGTCATATTTGCTACTCTAGTGAATTTCAATCACCCTTGTCATATTTGCTACTCTAGTGAATTTCAATCACCCTTGCTTCACGGTTAGCTTGAGGAAGCCAACTGATAACGTATCTCTTTGAAATTAAGTTAATTACAAACACTTGTAATTATATAGTATGTTTCAAAGTGCCAGAGTGTTATTCCATATGGGAAATAGTATGCATTTTCTATCTGATTACGAATATGGATACTGCGAATGCTAAAGTGCACTAATCCATACGAGTAGTTTCAATTATTTAGTCTATGTTGAAATGTACTTAAGTAGTACCTTGCAAAGCTTTTAATATTGTATTTCTATGTTATTTTTTACAGAGAAACTTTGAACCTTCAGAATTCAGAGTTCTGAGTTCAACGAAACTGCTTGCTGACTTGAAGGTAGGAGAATATTGGAGATCTTTAAGTTAGAAGCTTTTTTTCCCTTCAAATAATGATAAGTGCCAGTTTTGTATTGTAGGCCGTATTTTTTATTAAGACAAAATCTCTTTTCTTTTTGTTCTGTAAGCATATTTAATAACAGTGTTAGCCTTTTTATGTTCATGTATTAACTTGGTTAAGATATTAATGACAATTTTTGGTGATATTATACAGCATTGTCCAGATGTTTTACAATAACATGATTGTTATATTATTATGTTCATTATTTTCTTGTACAAATTTATTAGAAAAAAATAATGTGTTCCATAGCATTAATTAAATAAAATTAATGACGCAACAATAGCTCACAATTTAACGCTGTAGTATGAAATAACATTTGCTGAAACAATAGCGTTCAATACGTGCTATAACAAATGGAATAATAGCTCAACAAAAACGCTATGCGTACAAATTTTAAGATAGCATTTACAAAACGCTATGGAAAAGTCCCGGTCTATTATAGCTCCGGCAGACATAGCGTTTGTAAAAGCGCTATAATAACGTACGATAGCGTTTTTCAAACGCTATGGATGACAGTTTGTGGTGTAGTGACTTGAAAAAAAATGAGATTAACTTTAATTCAAAATTTAAAAAATAATTGAATTTAAACACTAAACAATTTTAGAAAAAAAATGAAACGATTAAGACTTTGAGACATAAACTAGATAAAATGAAAGTTGTGAAGATTGAATTATAGGGATTTATAAGTGAAAGTAATAATTGAGAAATTTTTCAAAATATCAAAATTTGGTATTATTTCGTTTAAATTAAATCGTATTTTTTTATATTTTTCAAAATTAAATATATATGCATTTGTTATTAGTCGATATTTTTGATATTAATAATAGTCAACCTGACAATTAATAATTTATAAAACATTAGTTATAAAATTATTATAATCATTTTACAGTGTTATTTATATTAATATATTTATAGTTAGGATTATTATAACAAGGAATATATATAACATAAACAAAAGGTGTAAAATGATTATAATAAATAATGTTAAATAGATAATTAATTATCATATTCATTATTATTAAATAATTTTAATTAATTTATTAACATATATAATATAATAAAAAAATAAAAGAAATTGAAAGGACTTGAGCTTAATTCATTTAAATCTTACGATTCGATTCTAAAATTTGAATAAAATATAAATGTAAAAAAAAATTAAATTATATGATATTCGATTCTCTATATATTTTTTTTAAAGTTTCTTATACTGCATTTGTCGATAATTTAATTAAAATTATTTAATAATAATTAATATGATAATTAATAATTTATTTAACATATTTATATATCATTTAAATCATTTTACACCGGAATTGTTATTATATATATTTATTGTCTACATTTAAACAAACATATTCGTTGTCCCAGTGGTAAGATTTGCTCAATATTTCCACTCTTGCCCGAGTTCGATCCCCGCTATGTCCAATTTTTTGATAAAAATGCTATTTAATACCTGGGTCCTCGGGCCGGGTCCAACGGGTAGACCCGTCGGGTCCCGGATCCTGAAAATGGGGACCCGAAACCGACCCGTCCAATGGCGGGTCCGGGTCAGGCCCGTGGCCGTGTCTAATTTTTTTTTCTTTTTCTAGTGAGAAGAGATCGAAACATAATTGATATCGTCATTTTTTTTTTATAATTTAACCTCAAAATTGTAGTTTTTGTAATTAATCCGGTTGACGAAGACGAATTAATATTGTTTAATGCGGACAAAGACCTTAACAAGCAAATTCCACAGGTCCATAGTAAATAAATTATAATATGCATGTGTAGCAGTTGGAAGACTAAGTAAGCAAATTAAATTAATTTAATCATTAAATCGGATATTCGATCTTCAATTTCTCTATACATAAACTTCGGATCAACTCGATAGTTCATTCAATACAATGGATCTCAGCTCCATGTCATCGTCTAGTTTCGATCTTAGTTTTCGCTCGACGAATTCTCAATTCGATCGAGACCAATCATCATCGCTAGAAAGATGCCGATTAGTTATGAACTACACGGACTTAACGCTCGATCACAGTAAATGGAAGACGATGCTGCCACCTGATAAAGACGAACTAGTATGGAGTTCAGCTTATTCGTTGGTCAGTCAAGAAACATTTTCTTCATTTTTTTTAGTGTACATAGCAATTAACCCCCCTGTGGTTACAAGCTTTTGCAGATGAACCTATGTGCTCGTAATATCAGCACATAATCCTCTTATGGTTTATGAGGTAGCTTTCGTTAGTTTGTCCGTCAAACTTAACCGCATGTGTCAAACATCAAGGAGGTCATCTGCAAAAGAATTACTTTGACGTTTGACACTGGCAATTAAGTTTGACGGAAAAACTAACGGAAGCTACCCCATAAACCATAAGGAGGGTTATGTGCTGATATTACGAGCACATGGGGTCATTTGTAAAAGTTTGTAACCACATGGGGGTTAAGTGCTATTTACCATTTTTTTTATACAATTAATCGATTTTATTAAGTGTTAAAATTTGTTCGATTCTCATCGAGCTTTAAAAGCTTATCTTTTGAAATTGGTCTGGTTGTCAATTGAGTCGAGCTTTAGTCGAGTTGATTATCAGTCAAGTCGAGCTCGAGTGGATCTTATATATATAAATAGGGGCGGCGTAACTTAGGCCAGCCAAGAGGAGCACCTGCCCTCATCGACCCCTCGTTAAGAGAGTTGGTACACAGCCTTTACTAATTAGAGTAGCGGTCCAGGGTTCAAATCATGCACAACACCCGCCCGGATTGAATATATATTTTTTATTTATTTTTATTAGATTTTAACTTTTATTTATATAATTTAGTCTATTTGAAACAGAGATTTTTTCTGGACAAAAGGACCGGAAAGAATTGCTTCTTGCTCGGAGCATCGAGACCTGGAATGCGTTCCGGGCACGGCTTCGAGTTTATACATGGCAACTTTAAATCCAGGTCTTTAGTTTCTTAATTTAATCTTGGAAATTGGAAAACCAATTTTTTTTTTTTTTAATTTAGCAAGATTAAATTATTTAAATTTTTAACTCTGTCTTTACTTACAGATTCCCAGAGGTGGCTGTGCTTTCAGATTCAGGGGGGGTTGAAATCCATTGCATGATAAAAGCAACAGTATTTTCTCCCGCGACTTTATACGCAGCATATCTCGTGTTTGATTTCATCGACAATTACGAAAAACCCCAAAAGGCAATCTCCGTGGTCGAAATTGTTTACGGCATGTCGGATAACGGTAACTCCAAAGAGAGGGAAAGGATAGTGGAGTTCGAAGCGTGCAACAATAGATCCGACGGTTGGATGGAAATACTACTTGGAGAATTCGATGTCGGTGAAGTAAATAATGGAAATGTGCACGTGCAATTGCTCGAGAGTAGTGGGTTCTACGTTGTCGAAGGTATCGAGTTTCGACCTTTGGAGAAAGAGAAAGATTGGATAGGGAAAGGAATCTTTTCGAAAATCAAGATTTGGTAATACATGTATGTCTGTCTGGTTGGTTTTGATATATTACTAATAAGGGCGGTTGTCTTTTATTTGGAAGCGTAGTTTGAAGTTCGATATTGTGTAACGGGCGCGATAACTTGTGTAATAATTGGTTTGAGAGTGAACATTTTGATACGGTAACAATGACAATGTAACGAATAATTTTCTATTGATTTGTGTTAATATCAAAACTTATTAGGGAATCCTCGACGCAATCTTCAAACTCTTCGAGAATCCATAATTTATAGACTTAAGCAAACAATGGAAGACGATTGGGGGTTCTAAAGGGTCTTCGAATCTAGAAATTTTTCCAGAGTCTATCATTTTCCTAAACTTGGGATCGAATTTGACGACTCTAATATAACTTAATATAGAAACTCATTTTTATAGAGCCCTCACTGTGGACTAGGTTTTTTTTTCTTTATAGAGACTGTATATTTATACCGATCTCTAAATATATCTCCAAAACAAAATTTGAAGATCAATTTGCTTTTCTTCTTTGAGATTTGGAGAAATAACACTTCGCCCTCTCAAAAAATCTATTTTTGCACTTATCCCCCTAAAAGTAAAAAAAAACAATTAAAAAATATACAATTTGTTGCACTTTGCCCCTAATTAGGGTGTATATGGAAGGATAATTTCGTCATTTTAGAGCTCTCTTTTTCTTCAAATTTGGAGTCGGCGCTCCATATCCTTGAAGGTTTTCTGAAGTTGGGGCTGCATTTCCTGAAGGAATTCGTCTAATAGCTTTCGTTAGTTATCTATTTGACTAACGAAAGAGAACCTCAAAGCCCCATTGGTTGAGCTCAAGACCCGACCCGACCCGACATCCCCGCTATCAGCAACCTATAAAAGTGCGCCGACTTCGCACACACGTTAACGCTCGGCTTCAACATTGACAAAATTACCCATCCAAATTAATCAAATCCGACTAGGATTTTACAGGAAATACACATTTGGACAAAGTGCAACAAATAGTATATTTTGAAAGGGGGCTGTCTCTTTTTTGTTTTAGTTTTAGGGGGGGAGAGTGCAAAAATGAGATTTTTTAGGGGGTTAAGTGTTATTTGCCTATAACGATAACAATCAAGATATTTTTTAAGAAAGAATTATTGATTTATATTTCACCGGTTGCATAGGAATTTATTTAAGGGCTAATGGCAAAAAGGCCCATCACATGTGACTTAAATGCACATTGGTTCACAAAAAAAACAGTCTCTCAATTAAACTCATCCCCAGGTCTTTAGTCTAAAATACCCTCCATAATATAATTCTTATCAATTCCATTCATTATGCTCTAACTTCCTTAATATTACACATTAACCCCCAAAAAAAAAAATTTCAGAATTTTTTTTTTCTGAATTTTTTTTTCCGACCAGATTCCGGTGTTGACCGCCGGTCTTCGGTGCTGACTTTTGTTTTTGAAAACTTTTTTTTTCCTAAAATTTTTTTTGAGCGCCGGTCTCCAGCGTTGACTTTTTTTCTTTTCAAATTTTTGTTTTTCTTAGAAAAAAATATTTTAATTAATATTACTGTCTTGGCTACTAAATTACTGTCTCAGACAGTAATATTACTGTTTGGGACAGTAATATTATGAATATTATTTTCCCGAACAGTAATATTATTAATATTATTGTCTAAGACAGTTAAATTATTGTTGGAGACAGTAATTTAGCAGCCAAAGCAGTAATATTAATTAAAATATTTTTTTTAGAAAAAAAATTAAAAATTAAAAATAAAAGTCAATTAACAGTTAAATTACTGTCTCCGACAGTTAAATAACTGCTGGAGACAGTAATTTAGCAACGAATACAGTAATATTAATTAAAAATATTTTTTTAAGAATAAAAAAGTTAATTAACACTTAAATTACTGTTTCTAACAGTTAACTAACTGCTCGAGACAGTAATTTAGCAACGAATACATTAATATTAATTAAAATATTTATAAAAAAATTTAACAGTTAAATTACTGTCTCTGACAGTTAAATAACTGCTGGAGACAGTAATTTACAGCCAAGACAGTAATATTGATTAAAATATTTTTAAAGAAAAAAAAAATTCAATTAACAGTTAAATTATTGTCTCCAATAATTAAATAACTGCTGGAGACAGTAATTTAGCAGCCAAGACAGTAATATTAATTAAAATATTTTTGAAGAAAAAAAAAAGTCAATTAACAGTTAAATTACTGTCTTCGACAGTTAAATAACTGCTGGAGATAGTAATTTAGCAGCCAAGACAGTGCTATTAATTAAAATATTTTTTAAGAAAAAACAAAATTATAAAAAAAAAAAAAAAAAAAAAAAAAAAAAAAAAAAATCAACGCCGGAGATCTGGCGGTCAACGGCAGTTGACCTACCGGAAAAAAAAAATCAATGCCGGAGACCCGCGGTCTCCGGCGCGGGTCTCCGGTGGTGGCGGGTCAAAATTGGGGTTAAAATTGAAATTAAGGTTAAAATTGGTTAATTGATGAAATTAGGCTAAATTGGGGTGTAAATCATGAAATTGGAATTGAATTGGGTTTCAATGAATTTGGGGTAATTTTGGTATATATAAAATAATTTTCTTTATTTGCAAATAAGTTTGAATGCGGTGGATTTATTTGAAAGACAAAAAAGTTGGATGTCCCTCTTTTAATTAAGTGCACTTGTCATAGGCCTATTTGTCATTTGCCATTTATTTAATTTTCCGTGTCGTCCCACATTGTAACCAAAATTACTATTTTAACGACATTATTAATTAATCGATCATTATTAATTTTAACCAAAATTGACGAACTGATGTACCAGTGATATGTAAGCCTAATCATGAAATTAATAATCATCATATAATAAGCAAACCGCGTTGCATTTAAAGTCGAGGTTGACGCAGACCAATTTGCATTGTTTAATTCGGTTGACGAGGACCTTACTTTTTTCATAGCATGCTGCCGTAGTAGGTGGAAGACTAAATAAGAAGAAAAAAATTTAGTATTGTTTACTCGAAAAATATCTAGCGAAACGGAGGAATGTCGAAGAACTACGACAACTGGGAGAGGCTAGTGAGAGCCGTTTTGCGCAGGGAAAACGACAGGCGAATAGCCTTGCTTAATTCCTCAACAGATTCCAGCTCCAACAGTGCATCGTCTAGTTTCGATCGTAGTTTTGGTCCCGCAAATTTTCAAATACTCGATCATGATCAATCGCAAGAAAGAAGTCGACTAGTGATGAACTACACGGATTTAGGGCTTGACCACAGCCAATGGAAGACGATGCTCCCACCCGGTAAAAAGGAGCTACTGTGGAGTTCAGCTTATTCACTCGTGAGTCGTCAAATTTGTTTCAGTTTTTATCATTATTTTATTTTGAACTTTTTTTTGAATGACCATCTCAATCAAAAGTTTAAGCTATTAGTGAAATGTATCATTTAATATTAATATCTCCGATAAGCCCCCTCAAGTGCAGGAGAACACGAACAGATCAGTTTGAGTAACTTGAGTTTTTATGCATATATACTTTCTTAATTTTGTTCAAGTTGTGAAGAAGTTGAACTCGATCGATTAGTCATATTTTGCACCGAGTTTAGGCGAACTTTTCGGATTTATTTGAATGGAAGAAATTATATGTGTGTGTGTGTGGGGGGGGGGGGGGGGATAACATAACATGGTTTTTTTTTTTTTTAGCAATTCGATATAACACAGGGGGTACGTATACTAAATGCAATAAACTCATCCATCTAAATGCAACCTTAATGATCGATCTTGAATCGAGTATCAAATTCGTTTCATTTGATTCAGTTAATACTTGACGGAGGCCAAATACAATTATTAATAATTTTATGAAATTTCGAAACAGATCTTTTCTGTGGACAAAAAAACTCGAAAGAACTGCTTCTTACTCGGAGCTTCGACTTCTGGAACGTCATCGAGAGATGCCGTTGAGTTTATAAGTCGTCACCCTAACTCCAGGTATACATACATTCATCCCCGTATTTCGATTTTGAGTGATGATTAAATTTTCTTAAACTTAATTTTCTCTTCAACGTAACAGATTCTCCGAGGTGGTTGAGCTTACGGATTCTAGAGGAGTTGAAATCCATTGCAGGATTAAAGCACAAGTGTTTTCACCGGTCACTTTCTACGCAGCATATCTTGTGTTCGATTTCACAAAGGACAAGAATCAAAAACCTCGTAAAGCGATCTCCATTGTCCGAATTGTTGACCGTAAATCGGATTACGGTTACTCGAAAGAACGAGGAAGGATAGTGAACTTTGAAAACGGCGACAATAGATCAGATGGTTGGATGGAAATACATCTTGGAGAATTCTATGTTGGTGAAGTAAATAGTAATGGAGATGTGCTTGTGCAATTGCTCGAAACCACCGGATATTTCATCGAAGGTATCGAGTTTCGACCTTTGAAGAAAAAGAGAAACAAGAGGGAGAAAGGAATTTTTTCAAACATTTGGATTTATTAATACATTATGTTAGTCTTGTTTAGTTATAACTTCTTGAACCACCTTGGAAACTTTGGGAGTTTTTTTCAATCCTTAGGTGTTCCTAATTATTTTTCGACCTGCATTTATTATTTTCACTGATTTTCCTTTTATATAAATACATATTTGTTTATTTTGTTTTTTCTATACTTTTAATGTTTTTCTTTTCTATTTTTTTTTTACTTTTTTTTTTTAAATTTTTTTGTAAAGAATTTTTTGATATATTTATTGTACTGAAATTGATATAAATGACTATAATCGACTATCCCATTTGTAGTCATGTTCCTTCTTTTTAACCCAAGGTTATTGTCAAACGATTATGTACATGCACGAATATCGCCGATTATGTACAAAAAAACTTCATCCACACCATAAAACAAAATTCACAATTTGAATCTTTATAACATAAATCAACTTGTAACCAACAAATAGATAGATCGAAAAATACAATCACATGCATATGTTCTTCAACCAGAACAGTCATCAGAATAAATATACATTAAAAAAACCACATAA